AAGGAATGTGATTTACATCAATTAGATGTTATTAAAGCCTGGTGTTCAAACCATATCTGCTATAAGTAAACCTACCAGTTACTCCTCCATCATAGCCAACATAGAACCCATTGGATGTTACCAATGTCTTAGAAAATGACTTGCTGACAGCATATACTGAAAAGTAGTACACAGCATCTCCAAGAGAAAGATCCAAATCATAAAATGTAACTGAAGTATTTGTCCCCACATTTAGGTATGGCACCACATTGTCACGTGTTTTGTTGAAGCGTCTGTCTGTACCAAGAGCGACTAAGTAATAAGCCACTTGTTGACTCTTATCTTGTTGATTTATCTTTACTTTGTCAATTTGAAGTCCTGGTTTACCTTTTGATTGAAAAAAAAGAATAAAAAGACATTTATAAATCTATCTGAAATGTAACCAAAGCTGTTAACAATAAAATGTTATGTTTTTTTGTTAATACAGGAATCAAGGCTTACAACCATTGCAAAGAAAAATGCATACTCCACATAGGCAGAATGTCCTACCTCAAAATAGGATTTACATTAATTTTGTATGTTTACCTGATTATCCTAATTTAATAAAATATTAGAAATTTAAGTTATAATAATGCATTTTAAAACAAGATCATGAATGGATGTGAAGGCAGTCGCTTATCTGAGAGGAGTATTATGAAGACTTGGACCAATATAGAGATCTTACAATGTAAAACTTTGATCCCCTGTGTCGACTCTAATTGACCATGGAAGGGCCATAATTTGTTCTGAACAAGCTTTTATCTTTATTAATTTAGAATGCCATGTACTTGCATCTTACTTAAACTTGACTAATTTGGCCTTGCTGTTCATTTAGACAATATATAATTTTTTTAATTTTCAACAATTACTATAGTTATACATGTATCTTGATCTGGACTTTGATACATGTATGAACCAACTTGTTTATGTCCTACACAAAAAAAGCTTTTTAATTTGTTTCTACAGGTCTCTATTTCTAGATTTTTTCTCCCCTTTATAGAGAGCAGGTCTTTCCACCTTTCAGTCTTAATGTTCTAAGGAGAAATTGGTTGAAACTGGCTAGCATTTTTTGTATATCAAAAAACATTCACAAATAATTATACACTGTATATTAGACTAGAAATTGAAGACAATCCTTGATCAAAATAGTTTATTTGAAGGCACTATCTCTGATAAGAACTGACTCACCACTTTCCACATCAACTTGTACGATGGCATTGGATGGAAGACCAAATCCATTCCAATTTGCTGAGACCCTGGTTTTTAGAGGGAGATAATTGAGGTCAAATCCATCTATATCTCCATCATACACCTTACCAGGCAGAAGTGGGGTGGATTCAATGGTTACCCCAGTTGACCGGAGTTCATACTGATATCCTATAGCATTTCTGACTCGAACAAAATTTATGTAAGTTTCTTTATTCTTTAAGTTTAGTCCATCAATCAAACCATATGTTTTCACTGAAAATTAGATAATAAAATATATTTTTAAAATCTATTAAAGATATTTATTTCATGACAATAGACCCAAGAGCATTAACAACAATCATGTGAGTATAATAAAACCAAGAGCAGGGAACATTTTCATTAAAAAAAAATTAATTTCTTAAAATAAGCAATAACATCAGAAATCCTAATTCAGGGGCCAGGAATTTCACAGTTTTTGAAGAGAATTTTTTTTCTGATAAATATTTATAGGTAGAGAGAAAGGGCTTTCAAAGAATTAAGACATTTAACTAAAAAGGCCAAGAATTTCACAATTTATGTTGAGGCACCCTTGCTCAAAATAACCGTGCATGTAGTTTGTGTGCTAAATATAAGGGGAGGGGGAAGAGAAAAAGCTTTTAAAAGAATTGATACACTTCCACTTTATGATCAAAAGATCCCATATTTACTCTAGAGCCCCTGATTTTTGGCCATGAATTTCACAATTTTGGTAGAAAGCTCAATATGTTTACAATTATACAAACAATTTGACTGATTAATCTCCAGGAGTAAAAAATAGATTTTTTACACACATCTTTACCCAAAGATATTACAGCCAAAATTGGCTTGAATTTGTTCATAGGTTCCAAGTAGAAGAAGCTGAACATGTGGAATTTTTTAAACACATTGTACAATGCGGGACAAAAAAAAGTTATTGATAACTTGATTTAGGTGACTTCTTATTTAAACGTATAAACATAGTTACTTACATCCCATGTTCAAATAACTTGATATTTCTAGTCCATCCAGCCTCCTAACTGCCCATTCATATTGAACGACTGGACAGGGGTCTCCAGACACATCCCAGGTTGCCTGAATGGTAGTCGGGTCTGTTTGATAATCTCTGTGGAACAAATTCATCTCAATTTATTGCCAAATGTGCTTCAATGTTTGTAAAATCCAGTTTATATTATACATGTATTTATCTTGTTCTTGCCAAATGAATCCTGATAAAATTTTACAAATGTTCCCAATATATATTGTACTAGTGAAAATCCTTCAGATCTATAGATTTTTTAAAGAATAACTTGCACATAAATAAAGTAAGCTTTGGTGATATTAATCTCCTTGATACTTTAAATAATAATAATAAACAATAAATTCATTTCAGACAGTTAGGAGAAAGGGAGGAAGCAAGATAAAGAACATACACATCAATATGCTCTCCATTGACCATTTCAATGACTCCTATATGTGACAGGGGTGGTCTCCCTTGACTGAGGTAGGACATGTAGACACCATTTGAAGTAGCAACACTTGATAAACCAGCACCATTGATTCCTTTGACAGACACAAATACCTGTAAAACAATAGTTTAAAATAAGCATATATAAAACACACTAAAATATAATTAGACACCTACTCCATAGAAGACTTTAGGACTGACCTGTCTGTATCCGTCCAGGTTGAGTTCTGTGACTGTGTGGTGTTTACTGTCAGCTGGAATGCTGTAGAAAGCTTTGATCTGACCTCCTCCAGGAGAGGTACCTACAGCTATCTGGTACCTGTCAATCAACATTTAACAATCAAATAGGAGCTGACCATGATAGAAATAACCGAGAGGTACCTACAGCTATCTGGTACCTGTCAATCAACATTTACCAATCAACTAGGAACTGACCATGATAAAAGTATATCTAACATAATGCTTTATACTGGTACCTGTCAATCAACATTTACCAATCAACTAGGAACTGACAATGATAAAAGTATATCAAACACAATGCTTTATACTGGTACCTGTCAATCAACATTTACCAATCAACTAGGAACTGACAATGATAAAAGTATATCAAACACAATGCATTATACTAATTGTTAAAAAATCAAGTACAGTAAATTGACATACTCCACAATACTGGACTCTGGGTCAGTAAATGGTATCCATGTTACAGAGAGAGAAGTCAAAGACTCGGTACACACAGCATCTAAGGCTCGGCACTCTGAAAAAAAAAATGTTTCCAAGTCAGAAAACATTCATTGATACATAAATTTTATAAATGACTACAACAGAAATAAATAATATTGACAATAAATATTATACTATACCTTTTTCTGAATGACATATCTTGGCATTCATGGCCACAGTGTTTTCTGTGCTAGAAGCATCAATGCGGTAGACTGAGTTCAGGTCAACAACCATACCAGACTGTGGGGGTGTCAGGTCTACTACTATGGCTTTAGAAAACACACTAGTTGTCATGCCAACATAATTTACTGCTGTGACTGTGACAAAATACTCCACACCATGAAGCATTTTCTTTCCAACACCTAAAATAATGATTTTCAATGAAAGATTTTCTAAAATATAATGGATTTTCAATATACATGTACATGTATATTTCACATGTACCTAGCTTGGTGTCTGCCTGCTAGAGGTTCTCAAGATATCTTCCTATACCTAAAGCAGTTTGACATTTGACCTTATGGCCTCAAAATCAAAAGGTGTAAGCTACCCTACCAACCAGATCCAACAGAAAGCATACCCAAACAAAACCTTAGGTTTGCTCAAGATCTGCAAGGTCTTATCCTGAGCAAATCCAAAGTGCACCCCTGGTGGACCAAAGTGAATGTTGAAAGTGAATGAAAATTTCACAAGTACACCGAGAAACCTAACACAGGATTTGCTATTACATAAAAGAGCTGCCAAAAAGGGTTATCCATAAACACATTAACTAATCCAAGTATTGACCAATTATCATGCCTGGTTTAATATGTGCTCCCAACCTACTGCCAATAAAAAGTCCCAATTCTCCCTCCCCCTATAAAACCCTGTTTTAATGCCATCCCCTGCAAATCCACCAACGCATTTCAAGTACAAATCCATCTAACACCTTCATCATCATCCAATTAATGCATTACCACCAATAAGGAGACTTTTGGGGGATTTTTCGTTGGTCAAAGAACAAGTTCATGGTACTTTTGTGCAAAATATCAAACTCTACCATTTTATGGATTTTTGAGATATAATGTTGACATACAAATATTGGCAATAAAATGAGAGAACACTGTATATCACAAAGCTACAGATGAAATGATAAATGGACAGATGGTATATCTCCATCTTTAAAATTACCTTGCAATGTAAATGTTTGCACATTGCCAGGAACAACCCCTCCAGAGAAAATAGAGTCATCTCCCTTTGAAGTACCCATCATGACATGGAATTCTTTGATTGGAGATTCAGTGTCTATGATCCCAGTCCAAGTACATACTACAGGAACATATTTCTAAAAAAAAATGTCCAATATAAAATGACATGTATTCTAAAATGTTGGCTTTTAAGATACATGTAGTAAAAGAAAAAAAAATTTTGATTTACCGGTACTTAAAATTCAATGAGGTCATAAGATATTAAAAATTTTCAACATAATATCAACTAGTTTGTGGACCCAAGGGGATACATGTATATATTTCACATGTTTGACAAAGTTTGGTTCTTTTATTATATATGTAACAGTTATTTGCATCTGTTCATGGGGTGATGTTACTTTCAATATCAAAATTTAAATTTCACAGTGATGCCACATCAAAGAAGGAAACTGATTTCATATCTCCCTGAGTTAAAAAGTCTACGAGCTGAAGTGTATACCCTGTATAGTGTATACCAGGTATGTAATTGCAAATTCAAAAGTAAAGGTTGCATATTATGGGAACAAAACCTAACCCATCCACCCCACCCCACCCTTTTCCAAGCCACTTCTCTTGGCATAAATACACAAATATTGTGCCTTTATTATAAATACAAGGTATATACACATTTAAAGAGTTCCTCATTTGCAGGGATTTGATTTTTAATTTCTACCCTTTCAATATGTCAATAAAATTGATCGATCAGGCCATCCTTAAAAAATTGTTTGTTTGGAATTGCCGCCTTGGGGTTTTCAGACCCAGGAGGGAGGGAGGCATATTTTTTTTTTTTTTTTTTTTTTTTTACAAATTGAAGCTAAATGATAAGAAATGAAAATCTCAATGAACATTTGTGATTTTTATTAATTTTCCTCTTTTATTTTATTAATATTTTTTTTGTTTTGATTTTGAAAAATTATATATACAGAACAGTTCTAGAATATCAATCTTATTTAGATGTTAGATCTGCTCATTTAATAATAGTCAAATTTCAGCATCAAACGTTCCAGTTTATTTTAAAAAAAAAATTAAACAATAATTTTATCAGTCTAAATCATAGCATTTCTCTTGAAATTTAGCCCTTTGTTAAGACAACCCTTACAAACAGTGCGAACCACACAAAATTTCTTAAGAATAGTTACCAGGGTGTTTTGTGGAAAAGCAGGAACGGGTGCTTGATATGTTCTAGAGCGTGCACCATGATTCAGTTTTAACATTACGTTTCAAGGACTTGTCATACTGACAGACAACATTTTTCCTTTAGTATTCGGGATAACAGATATAATCTGATCCATGTATTTTTTTAACTGCATGGGATCTAAAGGATTATTTTTAATTTCAACATGACGGACTAAGCCTATTAAGTTCAACGTGCAATCTATTACAACAGCTTTTTCCAGGTATCGGTGTACCATTCCATTTAATTTTTTATTCACCTTTTATTTTTATGGAGATGCATAAATGTTCTGCTCTTCAACGCTCGAATGCACATCCACTGACCCAACCTGGTCTGACATTTTGGCGGCTTTCAGTTTGTCAAATCACCACCTATAATCGCTATATCATCAATACTATGAAGAAAGCGTTTTATTGACTGGTGTTGTTACATTAATGAGAGCAGCGATTTTTTTTCCACCTATTGGGAAAGGTCCGGTACCGGTTCAATTGAGAAAAATAACATCAAAGAAGAACAATGAAAATTTTCTCTCCTTTAATCAAATAAAACGTATTTTGTGCTTATTCCAACTAAATAACCCATTACTACGTGTTTTGAAGAATAAGCAACAAGAACTTATTGCATTTTTTATCAATGTCCCATGCTTTCCACATTTCCATGCTTTCAATTTGTCAAAATGTATAGATACTACGCTGTATACTCCACAGGTCCCGCCAAATTACGACTTTCTCTACTTTCCATTTAAGCAGAAGTGAAACAATTACTCAATTTGTACATTGTTTCATTTAAAAAGAAATATGATGTCGTGATAGTATGCTGCTTCACAGTTGAATAGGGAATTTTTGGTCACAAAATTGGGAAAAATTAACGTTTTGGCATTGGGAATGGTGCAGTTTATCGGTACCAGTTATATAAAGAAAAAACGCTGGAGCTCAAACCCGACTTTAAAAAGCTTTTTCGACGAACGAACTTGTAATGAACAATGTTAGACGATAAAACGGTAAAAAAAAAAATATTGTCAATATTTTGCCAATAAAATTTTTTGAGCGGGGGTATTTCAATGAGGCGGGCGGCAATTCCAAACAAACTATTATTTTATTTTGGCCTCAGTAAATTTTGAACTGATGCAACAGTGCCTGCAAATAATTTTTTTGCTTCATGGATGTTTTCTGATGATTCTCAAAAAATAAAATTGTCACAATAGCAGTTGAATCACAGAACAAAATCACATGACATTTGCTTAATGCTTCTTGAGAATAAGATTTTTGAATCACCCCATTCTATTTTATATTTCTTTATAAGGGCCATTACATTGAACATTATTGAATCTTCATCACCCATGTACACTTCAAAGCAGTTTTGGCTCAAAAAAAGGCCTAGAAGTTCTTGAGATGATGAGTTTTAGTAAAATTCATTTAAGGATGAGTACCTGCAAATATCCAGGACAAGTCACATTACCAGTAGTTGGTGGTGTTTTATCTATCACAACGGTTCCTGTGGCTTTCTGGGTAACCAACCCCACAGAGTTCTCAGCCCATACACTTATGATATTAGGTTTCCCTGCAAAGCCAATAGGCAAAAATTATTATCCTCTTGCATTCTTACATAATGACTCTTTGAATATTTTTACTTTGAACATTTTTATAATACTTTCACTTAAATCACCATACCAAAAATATCTGGCTCCATTTCATTGTTTCCTAGATAGCTGGACAATGTGGTTGATATCTCCACCTCCTTTCTCTCACTGAGATCATCAGAGAATGGGTAAGTTCCCACAGCATACCAAGCTCTCACTACTTCAGACTCAGAGTCATTGTAATGCCACATGGCTGACAGGGCATCATCTGTTGATTCATAAACCAGACTGTCATCTGAAATGTCCATTTCCTGAGCTGATTTCCCAGACAACCTACAAAGAAGGTCTCAATACTGATACATCTCATTATATCAGGAACAACATAGCATGTTTGGAAATGGAAAAAAACACAAGATCCATTGGTTTACCTATCTATGTCAATAGTAGGAGAGGTCTGGTCCACAGTAAATCCATCAGAACTTGTTTGTAGTACATTTCCATTATTTGTTATTCCTCGCACTGTGGTGTAGTATGTTCTCTCAGGTTTCAGAGGTATGTTAATCTGGGCATATCCAGAACTTGTCAAGCCTAAAAAAATTTACTCATTATTGAAATACATGTACAGTATGTTATCCTACTTCTTGCAAACTGTATAATTTATAAATCTTCTATTTTACTAATATTTTGATGCATGCTAACCTTTTCCGACAGGATCCAGTTCCTCCAGATGGATGACATTTGCCTCTGTGAAGGCCAGAATGTCCTCTCCATTTGGTTCAGTCCCCACAGCCATCTCAAACTGCATCACTCCGTGCATGGTGCTCTCAAACCCAGTAAACTGGACGGTAACAGTGGTAGTGTCCAGTTGATAATCCGTGTCTGATGTGAAGTCAACGACGGCATCCTCACCAACAATCTTATCAATGTTGTCAGCACCATCAACAACCAAACCTTGAGTTCATTAGAATATTAATAAATGTCTTTATATACAGTAAACTGTAAACTTTCAAAAATATCACTAGTTTGGCAAAAACAAAATAAAATTCTCTGAGAATTCAAACATGAAGCAGACATTTACCAGCTTTGTCCTCCTCCATGACCATGATAGGAGTGGACACAGTGGCCAGTGGACTGACCAGGCCTGCTCCATTCTTAGCTTTCAGCGACAAATAATAAGTGGGAGATTTAGTTGTCTGATTTGTGACCTCTAAAGTAAATCCTGTTATATACTGACTGCTCTCTGTTCCAACAGACTTCCATGCCAAAACATCATCACCTCCTAAGTAGTAAAGACAATCACACATTCTGTATTTCTTATTCAAAATTTTAACTTTAACCTAAGAAGTTCGTGATATACCAGTAGCATTAAACCAGGATCATGAACACACACCAAATACGCAATACAATATATTTGATGTTACATTGTTTGATGTAAAATACTCAGTAACCAATTTCAAAACTGGAGTTTAACAAGGAATAAAACTAGTTTAAAGTGTTAGTAGTGAAAAAAAAAAAATCAGTTCGCACATGTAGAAAAGTCGTACCTGGAGATGTACCTATAGCGACTGTGTACTCAATCACACCTGATTCATGATCCTTACAGAGCCAGGAGGCCTGGATACCTTTCTTATCTGACACCCAAACATATCCATCTACTCTATGTTCCCTCGAATTTCCAACAGTTCCGATTTTCAGCCATGATATCTGCAACATAAAAAATGTAACTAAAAATATAAATCTATGCATTAATAAATAAATAATATAATAGGCTTTAACCATCAACTGTTTTTACACAAAATATTTTGGAGCTACATTATGTGTTTTTCTGTCTTGTCTACTCGATTTTAAAACTTGAATTTATAAAACACTGAAGATCATTTCAATAGAAAAACATGAGAATCTGTAGACCTACTTTTTAAGGATTAAAAATAAATATTTACACAGCATATTATACTCAATAGAAAAATTAAATCTGAAATATTTTCTTCATCATCATATTGTTCATTTTATGCAACCACATCAATATGTGATCTGACTTTCTGGATAACATTAAAACATTTTTTGTTGTTGTTGTAATTTGCTAATTATACAGGGGAACGTAATAAATTTATCCTGATTATAACAGAAGTTAATCCATAGAGCCATCGTAAACGGGTTCAGATCATCAGATCAAACTTGACATCACGTTTTCATAGTTTTAACTGGTGATCCATGCCAGTCAATGAGACACGATGCGACTCTTGAAGTCTTCAGATCATGTTACTGTTATAATATATCTGGAGCAAACCTTTTAAATTACCGTAATTTACGGAATATAGGTCGATACTTTTTTTCTCAGAACCACTGGGGTCGACCAATATTCAGAATTCGACCTATTTAAGGCTCAAGTTTACGAAAATTGCTCCCAAATTAGTAAAATTTATGTCAATTTCAAAGCAAATCTGTGCCCCTTTCGCAACTTTTTTGATTATTTTTCGCAAAAAAAATTAATGCCCCGGTAAACAATAACATATTTATTTTAAAACTTTCTTACAAAATAAATTCCATTAATTATCCGTTTGATGAGAAAGTAAAACAACATTGCTTCACCTATTAAATAATTCCTCAACGTATTATCCATTAACATCATGCGGTATCCATCTTGTGAAGCTAGGAAGTCGCGATCTTGTACTAAAAGTAAAACCGCAACCGTATCAAAATTTAAAATACGGAAAATTTTCACGATCACAACTATAGTGTTTTTACCATTTATTAGTAGCGATAAATTGAAATAGTATATTAAATATTTTTTATTGTCTTATGTTTATTTAAATGTAAAATGAGTGAAATAATTTGTTGCCATTATTAAAAGCTTCGTACACAAGAAGTACATTGAACTACCGGTATACAAACATTGGCTTCTATCAAAATTTTAATTGTCAGACAGATAAAGGGATTTACACTGTGTACGCAAAGGTGTTAAACAACACCTGTGTTATTTAATTAATTGCCTGCGGGGCATGATTAAGAAACCCACGTGCCATTATAGGGGTATTAGTGTTACACTTCATTGAACAAACAAAGCCATGAAATTCATGTTGACAGTCAAATTGTGAATGTACTCTCAATTAAATTCATAAATTAAACTTATAGAGTGTTAATATTATTTCAATTCTTTACTGTTGCTTGATATATACATTCAATGGTCATTTGCGTCATTTAGCCAATCCCTGGAGTAGAAAAATAACAATGGCGGACATCGAAGTAATTGTCGTCCACCGGTAAATACTGTCTGAATAAAATTTATTAGGAATGTGTCCAAGTTATTCTGAAATCGGAATTGCTATTCATTGGTCTCGGGTATTTCCCGAATTATAGCTGTAAAAAAATAACGTATTTACGTGTTATTTATGCCTCTGATTTAACAACAGTTTGAAACTACGGAGGCATTGATTGATTGAACACGCAAGTTGGAGAAAAATAAGTAGTAACACAATTCAAAGAAGTTTTAACTACATTTTTAAAAAAAACTTTATTTAAATGCTGTACTCATTAAAATACCTGTTTATTTTCTTGATACGTTCATGTCACGGAATAACCCCGGTAATTTTAGGGTTTTACCTGTTCTGATAGTTGTATCTGCGTAAGAATCTTTAGAAAAAGGGAAAGAAAGCCTCGTCCTATACAGTAAGTTCGCCCTATCTTAGGATTTTTCAAAAATTAAGGCTGAAAATGAGCCTTTCGACCTATATACCCCATCGACCTATAATCCCAAAATTACGGTACAAAGTCTTTATAAAATGATATGGACTTAATAAAGAAAAAAATATTATGTGTTAACGTACAAGAGGAGATGATGTGTCAATGATAACTCCATTGGTTTCAAATGAAGCTAGGTATCCTGCATAGTTAATAGCTGCTACCCTCATGCTGTATCTTGCTCCATTTATAAGGGACAGTCCATTCCATGTATAAGATGAAAGTGCAGTCCTAGACAAGCTCATCCACTCATTTTTCTTAACTGTAATTAAAGACCAGAATTAAGCTTCAGGTAAGAATGTAGCTCTCCTGGATTGTATTTAATACAAGAATTAAAGAATTTACCTGTGTTTCAAACTATATTTTAAGGATATTTTGTTATTTGATATTTTAATTACAATTCATCAAATATAAGAATATTAAAATCTGGAAGCACTATTGTTTTGTGCTTTATAACCTGATAGCCTTAAAGCCTCAAAGGCCATTATTTGAACAAATATGAATCAGCACATCTGGATTTATTTTTAGTAACGTAAAATTATTATTCCATGAAAATAATTTATCATGGGATAACAATTTCAAGTTACCCTAAATAAACATGAAATATGCTTTTAATGATAGCAAACATTCTTTAGACTCTATCAGTCTTGAAACATACCTGGGTATTTTTGTTTCTTGGTACCATGTGAAACTTCGTAGATCTGAATTTTGATATGATCAATGCCAGATTCTTTATCTGAATACTTGAAACTGACTGAAAGCTGGTCTGTTGCAGACTGGAAATATTTACAAAATAAATTTAAATTGAATCATAAGACATTACACAATGTGTAAAATCTAATAACGGATTTGTAGTATATACACTTAAAAAAAAAACATACAAAGTCACATAAATATTTGAAACTTTCTTTTACAGACCTATCTTTTACCACAGCCTCAAAATAACAATTACAAGTGCTATAGTACTTTTAAAATATTAAAAATCCATAATGATTTGATGGACATAATCTTTTTAAGATCCTTCTGTAATTTAGCTTATAAAAATACTCACTTGGAATTCCTGATCTTTAGATTGGAGACCATCCCAAAGATAATGCAGATGTGGGGGTGTTATGTCAACCACAAAACTGTTAGTGTTGTTGATAATGGAGTTGAGAGCTTTGTTTGTGGTGCGGAGAGAGGTCTGAATTCTATCTCCATGACTATGGTGGAACTTTAACCACTTCACACCATTGGCTGTGCTGGGGAATGGGGCCCAGTCATAGATAGGTTCATAATCGTATGTCATATTTCTGAAAAATCCAATGTATTTCAAATAATTAAGATTTATAAAATGTAGATAAAGTTGTATTTCATAAAATGCTTACTAACTGAAACAAAATAATAATAATAATGGACTACATTGTATAATTTCATGTCAAGTTAAAATGACCACATAATGCGAACTTACTTGGCCCTGTAAACCTTGACATCATAGTGACTGATGTTGGACTCTGGATCCAAGTAATTTCTCCACTGAAGTTCTATTTTAGCCTGGCTTGTTGTAAACTGTAGGTCAGTGAAGTCCTCTGCTGACCCGTCCACCACTTCTCCAGCTACTGGCTCAGTCAAGTCCACCAACACTTTATACAAAACATAAAGCAACAAATGTATACACTTACCACTTAAAAAGAAATGTTGGTTTCAGTAAAAGCTAAATTTATCAAACCTCAGAATTAACTATCACTTGCAAAACCTACCCCCATCAGAGACCATGGAAACATTGAGTTGTTCGTGAGCACCATTGAATGCATACACTTTTGAGAAGTATTTCTTGTTGTGCTCTAAGTATTTGTCTTGGTCTAGCTCCACACAGGCAAAGTGAACTTTGCTTGAAAAGTGTGTCAGGTTAGCTACATCTGTTGTGTTTGGAGAAGATCCCACACTAACCATATATATAGCTATACCAGACTGTGGATCATAGAAACCTTCCCAGTTACTGCAAATCTAACATGTAAAAAAAAAAAATTAATGAATTTAAGTTTATGTTGAATAATTTCAACATTACACAAGAGCCCAATGGGACTAAGACGAGACAAAACAAAATTTTTTAGATTTTTATCCCAACCTCCCCCTCGTTAATAGTATTAATGAAGTGCTAGAGACAATTTGGTTTCGTTATAAATGAATGCAATTCGTTATATCCAGTAAGTTCCCAATATATTTTATAGCCATGGGGAATAAAACTTGCTGTAAGCATCAATTTGTTCTAAGCATGTTCACTATAAGCATGTTTTACTGTATTAGGTTTTTTTCTTCTGCAAACTGATAAAAGATACTTAGGAATGGACTTGCTCCTTCAATTTAAACATGTATTAAATGCCATAATCTGAGGCAAAGCATATGATATCATATCCACTTTGTCAAGGTGAGATTAAAATTCTTTCAACAAAGTGAAAATTGTGATGTATGGGCAAACACTCAATGGTGTTTAATGTTTCACATTTTTGAAGATGGTAATACCTTGTTTGGATACATTGTGTATTGCAAATCCTTTTTATAAACCTCTCCATCATTCACCTTTCCAGCAATAGGAGGAGATTGGTCCACAATGATGGGTGAATCAGACACAGCAATGGTGCTTAGATCAACTGAAAAAAAATCACAAAATACAGGTGTTCTGGTCATAGGCACAATTTTGGGTTTACCAACTTTTGAAGCAGGATAAAAGAAATACATGTATAAAGAATCTGCTTTCCCTGTTGTTGTTTTAAACCTTGGATGATACTGTGCATTATTCAAAGGAGCCTGAACCTCTGATCCAGCAAAAGTTATGGTAGAGTTTGCTGCCTGGTAAGACCACCCCCCCCCCCACCCACCCATCCCCGAATTAGGTTTTTGAGGATATTATTAAATTACCTCAAGTTGGGTGTGGACCACTAAGACCACTGAATTTACAATGATTTCTCCTCCTTTTTCTTCCAAAGATGCAATGTATCCAAAATGATTAAAAATGTTTAAAAGTTTAAAAGCTGCTAATGAAAAACAGCATCCGATAGCATGAAAGCCGAAAGATTTGGGTGACCAGAAAAACAGTTTCAAACCTTTGTTGACAGCTTTGATTTTAATCCACACAGGAACTCCCTCTGTCAGCTTCTTCAACATGGTGATGTTGGGATTGAAATCTATGGTGGTCCACATCATTTCATCACAATCTCTTCTAGTTCTTCCCAGGCACAGATCATTCCGTTTAAGTCCCGAGTCTGGGTCTCTGAGGAAGCAGTATATTTAAATACAAGTTTATGTCTTTTTAGCAATTCAAAAACTTAACTGGTGGTCCTGCAGACATAATTTTTATAATATAGAATTCATTTTGTATCTAAGGAGTTTATTTCACAATCTTTCCACAGAAAAATGTCAAAGCCTGGGCAAAATTCAGTAAGCCCCCAGTCTATATAATGACAAAGAAATCCACACAATTTTATACAGACTCATGGTTTGGACGGAATTATGACTATGCGTAAAAAAAGTATCTTTACAACAGGTTGAAAAAGAATCTCTCATGAATAACAATAGTTATACTTGCATTCTATTGCTTGAATCTTGCTTGAGAAAATTTTAAGAAATATGTGATATATGACCAACAAATATTCAAGAAAAGAGCATAACTGGATTATTCTTCTGTAAAATGTGGGTCCAAATATGCATTTTGATTTGAATAAACTAAGATCTATAGTCATGAATTGCATTGGGTACTTGCATATTGTTACAGCTAATTATAACCCAGCTTTTCTTGCTTAGAATTTTCTGTACATTTCTCTAATAGTATATTGATTAAGAATAAAATTTATCTTTACTTACGAGGAATTGTGGGTTATACTAAGATTGAATTGCTCTTCATCATAGTAAATATTGTAGATTTCATAAATCAGAGGTGGTGAGTTATCTACAATATATGGAGTTGAATGACAGAATGTTGTAGCCAGCGGCCCACCATATTTCACTTTGTTGATAGCTCTCACTGTTATGAAATATGCTCCATCTAAAATTAAGGAAAAAAATTCAAATTTATTGGATAACATCAATGGCAAAACCAAACAATAGAGGCTCATGGGCCACAACACTTATCTAAGTGACTTTTGTCCTGCTATTCTTCACCAGATTTCCCTTTTTGTAATACACTGTACTTATTGAGGCCTGACCCTAACCCCAGAGGCCATGATTTAGAATCTACTTTACCCCAGGATGCTTCCACATAATTCACTTTGGTTCCTGAGAAGAAGATTTTCAAAGATTTGCCTATATATTTCAAGGGTAGTAGAAAAGCTGTATAAGTAAAAACCTGGTAGAATGGTGTAAGGAGCTTCCAATGGAGTCATCATCACACTGTTTGTCCACTGGGATTCATCAAACAGATGAGCATGAGGATCGTGGTGGGCCTTGATTTTCTCTTCACAAATTTTCTCTCCAGCTGTCACAGAGTAACCAAGCAATCCAGTCTCATTGTCATAGATACCATCCCAGTTAGCTGTAAAATGGGTTAAACAATATATAAATTACAAAATTTCTTGTATTGAGTGTTGTCAACCGTATGAAGGTGGCCAAATATGCTGTTAGGCATAACCAAATACTGTAAACCAACTTTTATTCGCGACAACTTTATTTCGCGATTTACTAAGGATAAACTTGTTCACGACGATAAATTTTCGCGATCAAGCCTTTTTAGATCTGTAGTTAAAAGACAAATGCACTTTAAGGGCCGGTTTGCGGCGAGAATTATTCGCGATGACGAGGCTCTCGCGAACTTCGCGAAAATTTCTCGCACGCGAATAAAAGTTGGTTTACAGTATGCTGTTAACCATAATAACATTTTTTCTCTGTCATGCTACTCACTATTTCATTCTAATTAGCTTCTATAACATGCTTAATAAATTGTTCACCAATTAATACTGCTCACTTCTTAAAATGTAAGAACAAAGTTTTTAAGTTTTGCGACAGATTTACCTGAGATATATCGGTTAGCTCTGGTGTACTTCAGGTCGGTCTTGAACTCGTGTCCATTGTATACAGTGTCTGACCCCTCCCCATCTATGACGATGCGGTGGTTCCTTCTGGAGGGATCTACCCCAACACAGTGTCTCTCCCAATCTTGTCTGTCATTAGGAATGAGGTCCAGACAAGGGGACACCTCTAGTACATCACTCGTCATGTTTATTTGAGCTGTATTCAGATTGTAAAAAAAAGTTTAAAATATAGAGCAAATATGATTATTAAAATGTTTGATAGTGCATCTGGTGCTGCATAATTAAGAAATTTGAAAGAACTTTGACTCTATTTATCTAGAACAATGATGCATACAAAAAAAGCATGAAATAGAGACAGTTTATACACTTAAAAAATGATATTAGTATTACGAGGCCTGTCCAAAAAGTTCGTGGACAATGATGTTTTTGTTAAAATAAATCGTTCTATATGCATCTATTGTATATCAAAATATTTCTTATGAAAAAACAAATCAGAATGATTTATTTTTTATTGATGAAACTTAATATTTTTGTAAACCAGAAGTCTCTGTCGAGACTGTAGCTCTACTGGTTTATACTTAAAACAAAGGAAGAGAAAAGTAGCAGTTGTGACTTGAGACTTCAAAACAGGAATCAATAGAAAAATGATCCTTGACACTCAACAAAATAAAAACTGAATGTAAATTTATGTAATTTTTGTTTATACACAACTATGTTACTTAACTGTTGACGTAATCAGTAGACATGTGCCTGGGATGTTTATAAACAAAACCACGTGATCGATGGAACCAATCAGAAGTGCGGAAAGGGACGCTATCTCAGTCTGTCTTTTGTAATCGAAGTGTTTAGTATTGTACCTTTAAATTGGTCATTATTTTGCCTTTAATCCAAAGATTCTTCCTACTTTCGTTTTCCCAATAATTTGTCATGTGATACCAACAGTTTTATGGACATATTTTGTGATATTCGGGATCTATTGTGATTTTTCCTTGACTGTAAACTTGTGAAAAAATGCCGCCTATCAGGAATCGCACTCGTGTTAATCGACAACCTAGGGCATATGACGATTCACTTCCAGAAAATTGGTCTGTTTCAAAATTGAGAGATGAATTGAGACTAAAAGGAATCACACAACCACAGAATACAAGACGAAGTGTATTAGTGAATTTATATAAACAAACTGTAACAAATGACGAGTCGAGAACTTCTCAGGCATCGGGAACCCAGGAATCGCGGCAAGAAACGGTTTCAACCACCCAAGGACAAGACATTAGAACAGAGTTATTAGGCGTGGTAAGGAACCTTACTTCTACTGTACAAAACCTGCAAAGCAGTATGATTTCGTTAACCGAAAGAGTCAACACCATGGCGCGATCGCAAACTTCAATAACAGCGGCTGCAGGAAGCGCGGATCAATTACGCCAGTCGGGGGCTCAAACTACCAATCCACGAAATGACAATACACCTGTATCATGCGGAACTCCTCGAGAGACAAGCGAAACAGACTACACTCTCACAACGGCATGGGCTGATCAAGCATCACCAAGGACCATTGGAGTAAAAACCACGTATGGATATGCGGCGGAATCACTGCCTTACGTGGAGACAATTGCACCGAACCTTCGGAAGCAGATTATAGAAGGTAAGGATGTCAATCTAGCAACCATCCTCATACCATACTACACCGGGCCGTCCGACGACAAAACTGACAAAGAGAAAAAAGATCCCAGACTAAACAAAACATTGACAATCTCAGAGTTCATTCAAGCCTTTGGCATATATAAAAACACTATGTGTGGAGCGTTCCCCAGACGAAGACAAGAGTTGGACTTATATGAGAGAGACATTGTTGACATGGCCAACAGATATGGCGGCTCAGCTTTCTATGAATATCATAGACAGTTTAGCGCAAGGGCTGCAGCATACCTCAAATACCACAATATACCAGTTGACTGGTCAGTTCGCAATAACACTTTGTTTTGCAATATCTTCGCAAATGAAAAACCAATCACCTGCACACTATGTAGAAGCGTTAGCCACACTGCTCCCTTCTGTCACCAAAACCTCGAGACAGGGGCCAAACCTTATTCTTACTCTCAGACATACCGACAGTACTCTAATTTGAATTCCAATGATAGTTATGGCAGACCAAGACAATTTAAAGATGGCCTTGAAATATGCAACAACTTCAATGATATGGGGTGCACTCGCAAACGATGCAACAATCTACATGTTGTAAATCTTGCAAAAAACCGGGACATTCACAATCCGATTGCCTTTCAAAAAACGAGGTAAACCCCCGGGGGAAATCACCAAAGCGGGGGAATCATTGAAAAATTGGACCATTACAACTCCTGTAAACATAGACAAGTTGGAAAAATTACTGCTTAACCACTCAGATAAACAAACTGTAGACTATTTATTGAATGGGTTCAGATTTGGTTTCTACACAGGTTTTAGAACTTTACCCACAGAAACCTATGAATGCAGGAATCTACTGTCTTCTCGGAAACAACCAGAAATAACTTCCCAATTAATTCAAACAGAGTTACAAAAGGGGTTCATTTCCGGTCCATACCCATCCATGCCCTTCGACATATACAGAGTAAATCCAATAGGGGTCGCAGAAGGAAAATATTCTAAAAAGAAAAGACTTATTGTCGATTTATCTGCTCCGCATAATGAAGATCATCATGCCAGTCTCAATTCCCTTATTGACAAAAGTGAATTTTCTTTGTCATATGTAACAATTGATCATGCAATAGACTTGATTAAAAAACTAGGAAAAAACAGTTGGATGTGTAAAGTAGACATTTCAGATGCATTTAAACTCATACCAATTCATCCTAGCCTATGGCCGTTTCATGGAATTAAATGGGATAATCAATACTATTACTTTACAAGGTTGGTGTTTGGTTCAAGAAGTAGCCCAAAAATTTTTGACACTCTTTCAACAATTCTCTGTTGGATTGCGCAAAATGAATTTGGCATTGACAATATCTTACATCTCCTTGATGACTTCCTAACAGTAGACCCTCCAGAATTTCCAGCAGAAAAAACAATGAACACTCTTACGACCATGTTTCAAATTCTGGGGATACCTCTAGCCGTCCACAAAAGTGTAGGCCCTTCACAGTGCTTAGAGTATTTAGGGATAGTTTTGGACAGTAATAAGATGGAAGCAAGACTTCCGACTGACAAACTACAGCGAATACTTGAAACAGTACATTCATTCTTGGACAGAAAGACATGTACTAAACGACAATTGCTAAGTCTATTGGGTCACCTAAATTTTGCCTGTCGGGTTGTACGTCCAGGCCGTTCATTCGTGTCATATCTGATATCTTTATCTACAACAGTGTCGGAACTTCATCATCACGTGACAATTACTGCTGAATGTAGGTTAGACTTGGGAATGTGGTACAAATTCTTATCTTCATGGAACGGTGTAGCCTTCTTCCTTGAAGATAATATAACAATAGCAGCAGATATGCATCTATATACAGATGCAACCAATTCTGCTTTTGGGGGATACTACGCGGGGAAGTGGTTCCAAGACGTTTTTCCATCAGACATGTTTCACAGTGGAGAAAAACCTTCTATGGCTTTTTATGAACTCTACCCCATTGTTATTGCATGTGTTATGTGGGGTCAAGAATGGTCAAGAAAAAGAATTCTCTTCCATTGTGACAATCTAGCTACAGTCGAAATTATAAATAAAGGGCGTTCGAAAATGAAATCAATCATGAGGTTAATGCGAAAATTAACTTTCACAGCAGCAAGTTTTCATTTTACCGTTCATGCTAGACACATTCCAGGGAAACTAAATACTATAGCTGATGCTATTTCTCGTTTCCAGATGGACAAATTTCGCAAACTAGCTCCGGAGGCGGACATCCGAGCCACAGCCTGTCTTCCATACCACAAGATTACAATGTAGAAGAAATAAAGACTTTATGGAATGCAGCAATTAGCCAACAGACAGCAAGAGCATATTCCACGGGCATTCAACACCTTTTATCATTTGTGACTTTGTGTGGTATAGCAGTACCATTGGGTACTTTACCTGATGTAAATGAAGATGTTCTTATCAAATTTGTATCTTATTGTCATTACTCTTTAAGCTTATCATTTTCTTCCATTAAGCTGTATTTGGCTGGCATAAGATTTCATTATCTTAAAGCTGGACTCTGTAATCCTTTAAAGCAACATGAAAGACTTGACTGCATTTTACGTGGCATTAAAAGACTTCAATCTAGTGTCTCAAAACCTAAAAGATTTCCTGTTACATATCAAATATTATGTCAAATGCTTAATCAGTTGAATGGCTCAATTTTTTCACCATTCCTAGATCTTATGCTATCATGCTGTTCTCTCATGGCATTTTTTGGATTTCTCCGTTGTGGAGAATTTACTGTAAAGAGTAGTAATGTAGACAATGATTTTCTTTGTATGAAAGATGTAATAGAGAAAGGTGATAAAATGTCTTATACTTTGTATTTGAAATGTTCAAAAACTGACCCTTTTCGTCAAGGTGTCTTTATTCATGTTTTTAACAATGATCACACCAAACCTGTAGATATTATGCATGAATACTGCCAGCTACGTATTTCACAAGGCGCTCAACCAAACTCGCCTCTGTTTGTTGATGCTGATGGTTCACCTTTGTCGAGAAATCAATTTATATCATATTTAAGACATGTAATAGCTGTGTTAGGTTATGATGACACTAAATATTGTGGGCATTCATTTAGAATAGGTGCTGCTACTTCTGCGGCAGAAGCCGGTATAGAAGACCATCTTATACAAACTCTAGGACGCTGGTCATCAAATTGTTATGTTAGGTACATAAGAACTGATGAGAAAGTACTTAGAGAAGCACAAAAGAAAATGTGCTGTGGAAACAGAACTTAGTTTGTACAAATTTTCCATTTGTTAGATCGGTATTGTTTTTTCTAAAATAATGTACAGTGTATTGGTTTTGGCGTCTATTTCTTTGGGGGCTCTCACTCTTTTTAACAATTTTAAAACTCGTTCATTTTGGACATTAAAATTCCCATGTATTTGGAATTTTTCTACCCCCAAATTCAAATAAGCAAAATGCTCATTGAAGCTTTATTATTAAAGTTTACAAATTGTGTACTCAACACACAAAATACCTAATATATTTTTACCATGCTTTAAGTTCACATTTAAGTAACCTGCCGGGCTCCCCCCAGGTACTTTAACTACTTAAATTATTAGCAACCTGCTGGGCTCCCCCCAGGTTGATTGAAATACCTACTGTATTAGTACCATGCTTTTAGTTCACATTTAGTAACCTGCCGGGCTCCCCCCAGGTACTTATATTATTATCAACCTGCTGGGCTCCCCCCAGGTTGATTGACTACAACCAAAAAAAAATATTGCTTTGTTCGGTATCGATGATTGCCTGCTGGGCTCCCCCCAGGTAATTTTAATTTGGAACCTGCTGGGCTCTCCCCAGGTTCTGGGATAACAACTAATAACCTGCTGGGCTCCCCCCAGGTTATATTTTAATCTATGTATTTAATTCAGAGAGCAGCCCCCAAGATGCCAAAGTTTTTTGTAATGTATTTTTATAACAGTATTTGTTTTTAATTTATTTGTACTCAACCTTGTGTTGTACATAGTGTTTTTTGATTTATTATGTGATGTGTTCATTTTAATAAATCTAAACCTTTACCTTTTGTCATGTTGTGTATAAAATGTAAATTTATGTAATTTTTGTTTATACACAACTATGTTACTTAACTGTTGACGTAATCAGTAGACATGTGCCTGGGATGTTTATAAACAAAACCACGTGATCGATGGAACCAATCAGAAGTGCGGAAAGGGACGCTATCTCAGTCTGTCTTTTGTAATCGAAGTGTTTAGTATTGTACCTTTAAATTGGTCATCCCACCCACCACCCCTTCATCTCCTGTTTTATAAGTACTAACATATATCTGTTTGACATTGCATCTTTAAAAATTGTAAAATTGTAACATGTATCTCATTATTGTTATGATGTACATCATTATCTTTGTTTTAATATTGTACTTCAATCACTGTTTATATCATTAACTGTTTTAAAGGGGCTGCTTTATTTGAATTATTTTAATATTAATAAATTTGGACATTAAATTATAGGACATTAAAATTCCCATGTATATTAAAATTCCCATGTATTTGGAATTTTTCTACCCCCAAATTCAAATAAGCAAAATGCTCATTGAAGCTTTATTATTAAAGTTTACAAATTGTGTACTCAACACACAAAATACCTAATATATTTTTACCATGCTTTAAGTTCACATTTAAGTAACCTGCCGGGCTCCCCCCAGGTACTTTAACTACTTAAATTATTAGCAACCTGCTGGGCTCCCCCCAGGTTGATTGAAATACCTACTGTATTAGTACCATGCTTTTAGTTCACATTTAGTAACCTGCCGGGCTCCCCCCAGGTACTTATATTATTATCAACCTGCTGGGCTCCCCCCAGGTTGATTGACTACAACCAAAAAAAATATTGCTTTGTTCGGTATCGATGATTGCCTGCTGGGCTCCCCCCAGGTAATTTTAATTTGGAACCTGCTGGGCTCTCCCCAGGTTCTGGGATAACAACTAATAACCTGCTGGGCTCCCCCCAGGTTATATTTTAATCTATGTATTTCGGACATTAAAATTCCCATGTATTTGGAATTTTTCTACCCCCAAATTCAAATAAGCAAAATGCTCATTGAAGCTTTATTATTAAAGTTTACAAATTGTGTACTCAACACACAAAATACCTAATATATTTTTACCATGCTTTAAGTTCACATTTAAGTAACCTGCCGGGCTCCCCCCAGGTACTTTAACTACTTAAATTATTAGCAACCTGCTGGGCTCCCCCCAGGTTGATTGAAATACCTACTGTATTAGTACCATGCTTTTAGTTCACATTTAGTAACCTGCCGGGCTCCCCCCAGGTACTTATATTATTATCAACCTGCTGGGCTCCCAAGAATTTCACAGAAATTTCTATTTTTAGAAACCATGGCAACACTGTTTATCAAAATCAAAAACCGATGCACAGAATTATGTATCTTAGTGTAGTCTACTTGTGTGCCACATTATGTTGAAATCAGAACAAAACTGGTGGACGAGTAGTATTTAAAATAAAATTTCACAGAAATTTCTAGTTTTAGTAACCATGGCATCACCGTTCATCGAAATCAAAAACCAATGCACAGAATTATGTATCTTAGTGTAGTCTACTTGTGTGCCAAGTTATATTGAAATCGGACCAAAACTGTAAGAGGAGTAGCATTTTGAAAGAAGTTCACAGAAATTTCTATTTTTAGTAACCATGGCAACACCGTTCATCGAAATCAAAAACCGATGCACAGAATTATGTATCTTAGTGTAGTCTACTTGTGTGCCAAGTTATATTGAAATCGGACCAAAACTGTAAGAGGAGTAGCATTTTGAAAGAAGTTCACAGAATTTTCTATTTTTAATAACCATGGCAACACCATACATCAAAATCAAAAACCGATGCACAGAATTATGTATCTTAGTGTAGTCTACTTGTGTACCAAGTTATATTGAAATCGGACCAAAATTGTAAGAGGAGTAGCATTTTGAAAGAAGTTCACAGAAATTTCTAGTTTTAGTAACCATGGCAACACCGTTCATCGAAATCAAAAACCGATGCACAGAATTATGTATCTTAGTGTAGTCTACTTGTGTGCCAAGTTATATTGAAATCGGACCAAAACTCTAATAGGAGTAGCATTTTGAAAAATTGTTTACAGACAGACAGACGGACAGACAGACAGACGGACGGACGCCGGACGCATTACTATCGCATAAGCTCTTCTGGTCTCTGACCAGTAGAGCTAAAAATGGGGTCTTTAAAGATCGCACATTGTGCGCACGGACCAGTCTGTTGTTAAGTTAATTTCATTATAATTTCAAACATTTGGATTTGGGCTTTACACATGTTCATGGACACACACTACATTTTTTTAAGGTGCAAAGCACTTCCAAGTATTAGCAATAATCTTTAAGTATAGTTCATAATTTACTTAATTATTAACATTCAGAACAATGCACAAAAATTTACGAGCTTCATCAAAATAAACAGGTTGTATACACAAACTGCACGACCAAGTCTGATGCTGCACTAGATTTATAACAATGTCATGAATAGAAATCTCAATTTTCAGTACATTACATGTATTTTTAAATTCTTGTTTTGTCTTCAAAGAAGAAGGTATGGTTTTAGCTTTATTGCGCCCTAAAAATGTAATGACATAAAAAAGTTTTGAAACTGGCTTAAATATTAGTTTAATAAATGACTCTGATAAATCAGGAAAGAATATGGCAAGAAGGTTTACCATTCTGCAAATATGACGTCATTAATGTGAAGCATTTCTCTATTTTCAACAGAAAAAGCCTCAAATTGGCACATTTCAAGGGAGATTTTCCTTTAGAAAACAGTGTCCACAGCCGTTGCCCACATTAATTTTTTGATATTTTGTGCAAAATTCAATAACAAATCACATATCTCAAGATCTTTGTGGGCGATGCCTGTGGACAATGTTATCTAAAAGAAAATTTCATTAAAATTTGGTGTCTTCTGCAACTTTTTAAGAAAATACGGGAAAATGCACATGTTCTTGACGTCATAATTAGCATTTAAAAACACATGTGAGAAAAATCACTTGTATGTTTTTTCTGCATTGATTTTCTATTATTCAAAAAGCATGAGTTTTCAACTTTTACACCAGTTTCATTTTTTTTTTAGAAAATCACAGGGCAAAACTTGTATGGAAACCATACCTTCTTCTTTGTACACACCGTTGTAAAATCATATATACAAATCTCAATTCAATACACTAAATTTATTTCAATCATTTTGAGATGTTTTAACAAATATTTTGTCTCTTACATCATTTCAACTGAATTAAAACTTATTTTTTTGAAAGGACGCTGCCCGTGCCGAAGGCCGGCGTCGCTTTTCTTGTCTAGTTTTGACAAATATTTGTTAGGGTTTTTGTTAAGTATTTGTACTGCCTATATAGTAAGCGATACTTAAGATATCATAAAATGATTATAGCCTCTTTATTTGTGGTATATAAAATTTTTATCAATTTTTGACCTGTTTTATATGGAAAACAATCATTTAATTCCAAACACTTTACATCAGAGTTAATGTCAATTTAACCTTGGTCTGTGAGCACTGTCTGCGATCTTTCAAGACCCCTATTTTTACAGAAATATTACGTTCCATCAATAAAAATTAAATCATTTTGACTTGTTTTTTCATAAGAAATATTTTGATATACAATAGATGCAAATAGATACATTTATCTTAACAAATATGTCACTGTCCACGAACTTTTTGGACAGCCCTGGTATGTGATAAAAAGTAAGGGTTATATAGTGTATACATAATTAGAGAGAGAGAGTGAGAGAGAGAGAGATTTTTTTGAACATTACAATATTTACATCCACTGAATATTTTCTTCTTTATTTCTTAAGAAAACCCATTGCGTTCATCACTGCATGAACTACATTAGGCATATCACCTGTACGGATTTCTTGATCAGTGGCCGTTTCATCAATGAAACGTACAAAGACGTTCGCATCATAAATACAATAATTAATATTTTTAATCCTACTTAAAATGACAATTCAAACAGATATAAATATAAACAATAAAATGTCTTTGAATGAACAGTCGCAGCTATTGCAGAAAAAATTTTCATAACCCGCGGGTTATGTATTTTTTCTGCAACAGCTGCTTCCGTTCATTCCAGTAATAACAAACAAAGAAAGCATTTTATTGTTTAAATAATTCTGCAACAAAAAAATATTTCATGTACCTTCAGTTGGATCAGGTGGTGTGAAATCTGTGAGGATTGATTCAGAAGATAAAATATTCTCAAATCCAAGAGAATTTTTCACATGAATATTGAAATAGTACATTGTGTTGTGCTGAAGGTCCAAATCATTGTATTCAAATTTTCTGTTTGAACCAACTCCTAATTTTTCATAGTGCATGTAATGTCCATCCTAAAAAAAGATAAAAAAAAATTAAAGGTATCTTAGATAACATCATCACAAAAAAATGTCAAAAATTGTTACAAAAATGTTGTTGTACAATCTTGAATCTACAAAATTAAATGAAGTTATTTTTAGAAAATGGTACATGATTTTCATTTTAGCACATTCATGCTAACTCCTTGCAAAATATAGGAACTGAACTGTTTACCGGGGTATTTGCCTGGGAGTCTCAAATAGTGAAAATTGAAGAATACCTTTGATATCTTAAAATTATATCCTTCTATTGCCTCTAAGAGCTCACAATGGCCACTGCCAAAGTCATAGTTGAAGCTCAGACACTTAGTGTCATGCATCTTGTTGCAGTGAGTGGCACATTCACCTGGAGTGGAAAGACTGTCATATTCTTTAAAGAGAATATGCCTTCCTACAAGTTTACCACTTCTTCCATCACTAAAAAGTGTCATAACTTTTAGGTTTAAGGGATCATAACCTGAAATTAAAAGAATGGGTACATAATATAATAAAATATACAAGAATATTAAAAATTGTAAACTTATTTTTCTTTTTACTCACAAGACAATTCCCCCCTCATAAATGTTCTTAAAGCACATACCCACATCATAGTTGACCGTATTTGCTGCAATGCTGGTTTGATTCCACCTGACAATCTGCTCTCCCCAGATGTCCCTGCCGTACCCCACAGCCACCAGAACCTGGGTTATGGGGGAGTCCTCATACACAGTGACTAGTCCCTTCATCACTCGGGGGTTACTGGTCGATCTGAAGGCTTCTGACATTCTCCCTCCAGGAATGGTCATGTCAAAGGTCTCCAACTGACAGGTGGCAGGTACACTCACACCCGCTTCATTGGCCACATGTACAGTGAAATACAGAGGAACTCCAGAAGGGTTCAAAATCTACAAGGTTTTGTACATAGTGATGAAAAATGAAACATCGCCGACATACAGAAATTAAAACCATCATGATTATTTGCCAATCTACAGTATTATATTTTGTTATTACTTATAGATCAAGTTCATATGCATATCAACCTCTGTCAATGAAGTTGAAAATCCTCCAAGTTCTTTTCGATAGACAACATCTGAGCCACCAGGTACAGTTCCTACATCCAGAGTCAGGATCACATTACTGCGGTCATCCTCTGCGTCAAGATCCAACTTAAATTCTGGATCTGTGTGGTCACGTCCTGCTGCCTGCAGCACTTTACATTCCCCTGGTCTTGTCACTCCCTTGAACATGTAGTTAATATAAAATGTAATGAGATATTGTAATTCAAATGTTTCATAATCTTCCTTTTTATTACAAATGGTTCAAAGACTTTGATATTCTGTCTATAGCAATGCTTTAACAAAGAAGTACAGAGTATGTTGTTTAATATCTTAAATCTTTATAAATTAAGAATGCATTTACATTGAAATTTAGTTACTTTATCTCATACAAATTGAATCAACATTTAAACAAAAGATGTTTGTAAAACACTTATGCCCCCCTCCTCCAAATATTAAATTGGAACTTTTTTAAGTCAAAGGGGAATAACTCTATCCAAAATGGCTAGATCATACCCATAACAGAACTTAACCTAGATATTGTTATCAAATTTCATTTCAATATGTGCAACATCTGTGAAGAAAATGAGTGGAAATGAAGGTGGATCAACAGACAGCAGCAAAGAAACATGCCCTCCCTTATTCAAAGGGGGGCATAAATATTTGCTTTCTATGAAATTTTCCTAGAATTATGTTTCAGATGCACGGTAAATAATAAAATGCTCACCCCAAAACTTTTGATCTGTGGTGGTGTTTTGTCTTTCTCCTTTTTGTGGGTATCTATAATTTTTTTCTGTATGACAGGTGTTTCATAATGCCAAATCCTATGCTTAAAAAGAGTCTTTTTAAATGTATGGAAAATTAGGTGTATCTTCAATGTCACTAATCCCTCCAAAGTTAGTCTTAATGGTCTGAGTTGAAGAAACATTTGAAGACTACAAAGAAATTTATACATAAAATTAATATGCTTGGTAAAGATCTTGACTCTTGAATACAGAAGTCCATGGGCCTTTACAGTTATATGTGTCTGCTTTTTCCATCCTGATCTTCCAACAGAAACACAGTTATGAAGAAATTTTGCTCAATAAAACATTGATGGCTTCCTTATACAGTCAAACCTTGTTATCTTGAACTTAATGGAACAAAAAAAAAACTGTGAGATATTTCATAGTTCAATTCAATTATAGTTATGCACTGAAATACACTCATAAAACAGCTTCTCTCTTACTGTTTAGCTTGATCACAAACATTTTTGAAAATTTTTCTACATTGGCTAGAATTCCTGAGTCTTAGCATTTTTCCAGTATATCAGTATTACAAAAACGTATTGATATATGATATTTTTTGTCACTGTATTGCCATATACTGAAATATGGATATTTTTGCCCAGCCCTACAACTTTATATATCAATTTTTACATAGAACTATCATTATTAAATAGTTCTTACTTCACATCTAGTGGAAATTTATTAAATGTTATCTCAGCAGTAGTTGGAAACCCTACTTCCATGATCTGTCCAGTGAGACGCAATTCTCCATAAAGAATAAAGCCAACACTAACAAATCCATATGCTGAGACTCCACCATTGGGAACTATTGTAACATATCCTTTCATTTCTAGAAGTTTTGCACCAACAACAAATTTGACACCATAATAATAATTGGCTCCAAAACCTGAAGATTAAAATGCAAAATCCTTCAAAAGAAATTGTCAAAAGATATTTTATTGTGTTGCTGAAACTGATTAGTTACAATGAAAATATCATCCTCGAATTGTAAAAATTAAGGAACAAAACATTATAATAGGTCAATTCTCTTCTTACCAAATGACAGGGTGAGAAGACCTCCAAGTGGAATTGATGTCTGATAATGGAAAAGGGTGTTTGTGTGTCTGGGAAAACTGAAGTCCCCTTCTATTCTCAAATCAAGGCTTTTGAAAATACTTGTCCCATTGGTAAGGATCTTGTTTAAGATTTCAGAATACTGTAATTATATAAAAAGTCACATGGTCTAAAACACTCACTTAGATTGCATTCCACCTCAAGAAAATGAAATGTATAGATGATTTACCCCATTACTAAATGTATAATTAATGTAAAGGTTATAGTTTCACTAGTTTTAATTTACAGGCTATTTATATTATTAACTTTAAGCAATTTTATAAAATATATAATTCAGCTGTAATTGAGGAAATCCATGTCTTAAATCTCTATTAAAATACAAGGGAAGCTCAGTGAACTGACATCTTTTGCCATCACTTTCATAAACTTGATTTATACTACATTTGTACTGCATGTTAAAGAAGTCGGTTCACTTTATGCCTAAAATGGCCCTGTAGATATACCAATTAATTGATCAACACTTGATTTTCTATTTGAAGCATTGAAATAAAATAGAGACTTTGTGCTTTCATATCCTATTAAAATTTTTCCTCTAGAAGTCCAGGCCTAGGAGAACTGGCTTTATGAAATTGCATTGTTATTGAACTTTTAGGTAAACACGTGTAATTGAGTACTTTCAGTGAAGAAAAATAATATAAGCGCACTCTCTGATCTAAAAAATAAAACATGTCCATTAATCCTCAGAAACAGTTCTATCATTTACTAGTTGCATATTTTAGATCAGAGATTGCGCTCTATATTAAATATCAAAAAATAGCTTTAAAAATTGGCCGTTTTTGTAGACTTGTTCAGAATATGAGGAAATTGACGCATTTCGTGACGTCATAATGCATTGACTAGCCAGAAAATGACGTCATTTTTTATAGATACGCAGTCACTAAAGATATAAGTGATATTTTATGCATTGTTAACTAAAACTATGCAGTTTCAGTTTTTCAGAAATTCACAGGGCCAAATAAAGCAAACATGAACCTTGTTCTTTCCCCAAATCTACTAGAGTTCTGTCTGGGAATGGACCTTTTCTTAAAACTTTAGTCTGGTTGTCAAAATCAGGCTTTAGATTAAGCTTATCTGAATTTGTACAGGTAAGATAAAATGTCAAGATCTGGCCCCAAGACCATAAAATAAGAATAGACTTGAGTCAAAATTTTAAATCAGTGTAACCTTTAAAGTAAATACCAAAATGAAACATAGTTTTCAAGTTATATTATTACTTAAATATTTCACAAACTTTGAATTCTTTAGGCATGTTCGTTGAATAATGATTAAAATATTCAAAATCTAAATTTTTACTTCAGCCTATTCTCAGTTTATGGTCTTGGGGCCTGAAGGCAGTCAGGATCAACATTTTTTTATTCATTCCAACAACTCTCATGAATATATATCAATCTGCATACAAGTTTCATTAAATTTCTGGAAAATGTTTTTTTTTTTAAAATTAGTCTTAATGCAAAATTTGATGGATTAAAGGAGAGACAGAAGGATGGAAAGAGTTAACGAGGCCCGATCTACTTGAACTGCGCATACGTTTTAACGCAGCGTCGACTCAGGCACGTCACAGTACCCTTGACTGCCGTCACAATTGAACACAATAACGTCAAATTGCGCTAAAATGCTTCACTGATTGTAGCTCTATAGACTGTACATGTTGAAAGTTGGTATTTCTATTATTTATACGTTTTTAAAATATTTTTTTATTTATAAACAACTTTAGAACATTATAATTATTTTGAGGTATCAATTTCTTGTTACATATTCATTAATTTTACTTTTTTTCAATTTGTGAGTTAAAAAACAAACACTACAACCAAAAGTCAACGATTTTAGTCTTTCTCCTTGAACATGTTGAAGTGTTTATACACACCCTTATTTTATTGAGGACTTAAATATGCATGGATTAACTTGAGTTAAAAAAAAATCAGTCCATGAATCATTTAAATGCAACCCCCGAAATATTTTATTTTTTCAATATATTACATGATATTAGTAAAATTTGTCATAAGTTGTCTGTTACCCCCCCCCCCCCTGTTTTTCCACGTATAACAACGTTGCGTGTTAAAAAAAATATAAAGTATTGAGAGAAAGTTATTTCAAAATGTAAGAATTATTTATTTTTTTTAAAAATTAATACAGTATTGTAATCGTTTGTTGATGCTATGTTTACCCATGGCGACTTATTTCATCTAGTTGGATAAAATAAATCCTAATAGTTTGTGTTTTGATATGCCCCCTTTTCACTGCAATAAAGGCTACCTCCAATTTTCTTTTATTTTTTTAAAAGAAGAATGAAAATTGCATGATATATGTGAAAAACAAAACATTTCATCAAATACTTTTTTATAAATTTTAAATTTCTTTTTTTATTGGAGAGTTTTACTATGTAATTATGTGTAAAAACACGAAAAATGGTCCATATCTTGACAGTGTCCCCATTTGACTACAATAAAGGCAAGGTAACAAAATTTCATTCTAATTTTTCTTAGCATAATACATACAAAAATATTTCCAAAAATTAAAATTTTTTATCATGCCGTTTTCGTAATTTTCAACTCGATCGGGCCTCGTTAAGGATGGATGGAAGACAGAAAACACTATATTTATTGCTCAAGCCATAAAAATGCAAAACACTTGCCAGGGCCTTCGCTAAATCTCCAAGTTCCTTAAGTAGCTCAGCAACTTTGACTGGGTCTATGTTTTTGAGATCCAACAAGGATTCCAAGTCTCCAATTGTCATGCAAGCCAACTTTTGTCCCAAAAGCCTTACTCCTTCATTTGACAAACCATTTCCAACAATGAAAGCTTGTTTAACACGACCAACTATGTCAGAAACTGCTTTTCCCAACATATTTCTGATTGCCTCTCCTGAAAATAAAAAACATCATGTTTACTTAAATGTTATTAATTAAGGTCTTCCATCTTAACGGAAGACCTCATAGCGATTGTATTGTTTCTTCTTCTTCTTCTTATTTTTTTTCTGACGCGATTTCTCAAAGACTACTGGCTAGAATTAGATGAAATTTTCAGGACAGATGTGTTGTTAAATGGGTTTGATACATCTGAGAGATTTTTTTAAAATTTGCTTCCGGTGCCAAGTTACAGACCTTTTTCTGATTTTTAAAATGACATTTTGTTCACAGATTTTCTCAAGAACGGTAAAAGATATCAATGTGAAACTTTCAGAGATTAAACTTGATTATAAATACTATCCAGGACGCAACTTTTCGTTTGTCGTCATTACTTCCGGTCGCTATCTGTAGCCAATTTAAAAAGTCCAAATTTCAACTTTTTTTGTTTTTCAATATTTTTCGTTAATTTTTTATATGTTAATAGACACCTTTCTTATAAAGCTTACTATATAATTTGTTTGAATTTTAATAAATCTTTACTCTACATATTAGCATTTAATAATTTGAAGCATTCCAAAATGGCCGCTCTCTCTGTCAACTCCGACATTTCGCAATAGGAGTTTACGGAGGCAGCCGAGCCTTTGCTTGAACGAAAGTAACATAAGGAGTCTGGACAAATAAAACGTAAAGGAATACTTGGATTTTCACGTCGTAGTTACGTTGCAATTCTGTGTCAAACAAAATTCTTAAACGTCTTCTATAATTGGTTTTGGTTGGTTCTCAAAGTAGAAAAAGAAAAAACTAAATGTGCAAATGAAATTCAATACCTAATATCTTCTGATTGCACCACGGAAAAGCAGATCTTTAATCATTTTTATAAGTACCGGTAATAGTTTTTCAAGAAAGAATATCAATAAATACAGTAAGTATAAAACTTGACCACTGTTTTCCCTTGCACACTTGTGCCATATTAAACCAATAGAAAAGACAAAATAAGATAACCATATTTTTTTAAAGATCGTTTAATGAAGTTTATATTAACATTATTGTCTCAAAGATTTTATTCAAGGTATTGAACACAAACGGTATCTAATTCCCTGATCGTCATAAGGCGAGCCAATTTATTTTTGGCGAAACATTTCAATCTCTTCATGAATGTTTAACTAATCGGTATACAGTAAAACTCGTTTAGTACGAAAACGGATATTGCAAATTCACAGATATAGCGAAGTTATCTTAGATCCCAACTACACAAATCTAACGAATTCCTGATGCGATCACTTTGGCAATAAACACAAAATTTTAAAACAAGAGGCCCATGGGCCACATCGCTCACCTGAGAAGCTTTGACCATTCTGTTCTTAACCAGATTTCCCCCTTGTTACACATAATGCATCCCCACCCTACCCCACTGATCATAATTTAGACATTTTGAAATCTACACTACCCCATGATCCTTCCATGGGCACATAATTATGTTTCAGCTTTTTTGGCCCAGTGGTTCCTGAGAAGAAGATTTTCAAAGATTTTTCCTATATATTTCTATAAAAAACTTTGATTCCCTATAATGGCCCCGCCCTTCCCCCGGGGATCATGATTCCTATAAATTAGAATTTACACTACCCCAGAATGCTTCCAAATAAGCTTCACTTTTTCTGGCCCAGTGGTTCTTGAGAAGAAGATTTTCAAAGATTTTTCTTATATATTTCTATATAAAACTTTGATTCCCCATTGTGGCTCCGCCCTTCCCCCGGGGGTCATTATTTGAACAATTTAGAATCTACATTCTACCAGGATGCTTCCACATAAGTTTCAGCTTTTCTGGCCCAGTGGTTCTTGAGAAGAAGATTTTCGAAGATTTTTCCTATATATTTCTATATAAAACTTTGATACCCCATTGTGGCCCCACCCTTCCCCCGGGGGTCATGATTTGAACAATTTAGAATCTACACTACCCCAAGGTGCTTCCACATAAGTTTCAGCTTTTCTGGCCCAGTGGTTCTTGAGAAGAAGATTTTCAAAGATTTTTCCTATATATTTCTATATAAAACTTTGATTCCCCATTGTGGCCCCGCCCTTCTCCCGGGGGTCATGATGTAAACAATTTAGAATCTACATTATACCAAGATGCTTCCACATAAGTTTCAGCTTTTCTGGCCCAGTGGTTCTTGAGAAGAAGATTTTCAAAGATTTTTCCTATATATTTCTATATAAAACTTTGATTCCCCATTGTGGCCCCGCCCTTCACCCAGGGGTCATGATTTGAACAATTTAGAATTTACACTACCCCAGGATGCTTCCACATAAGTTTCAGCTTTTCTGGCCCAGTGGTTCTTGAGAAGAAGATTTTCAAAGATTTTTCCTGTGTATTTCTATATAAAACTTTGATTCCCCACTGTGGCCCCGCCCTTCAGCCGGGGGTCATGATTTGAACAATTTAGAATCTACACTACTCCAGGATGCTTCCACATAAGTTTCAGCTTAACTAGCCCAGTGGTTCTTGAGAAGAAGATTTTTTAATGACCAAACCCTATTTTTGTCTTTTCTTGATTATCTCCCCTTGCGAGGGGATATGTCCCTTCATTTTAACAATTTAAATTCCCCTTCACCCAAGGATGCTTTGTACCAAGTTTGGTCAAAATTGGCCCAGTGGTTCTTGAGAAGAAGTCGAAAATGTGAAAAGTTTACAGACGGACAGACAGACGGATGGACGGACAGACAGACGGACGGACGACGGACAAAATGTGATCAGAAAAGCTCACTTGAGCCTTCGGCTCAGGTGAGCTAAAAAGTTAAAATTCATAGTTGTTTCACTGTTTTAGTGTTAATTGCTCACATACTATATGGAGTTTGTGAAATGTGTTAAATATACTTTCTTATCATCAAATTTTAGGCTATATGAACGTTCTTTTTATTCATTGAAGCTATCACACCTATTAAATAGAACATTTAAAGAAAAGGGGGAAGATTAACTCGTGGCATTTGGCTCGAAATTATGAATAGTGACTAGCCTTTCATAATTCTAGGACAAAGGCACTGTTATACAGAGGTATATACAAGAAGATTTAAAGCAGAGGTCCCAATAGCGTACGTAATATTTAGTGCGTTGGATTTTCATGCTGGTGACATAGATTCAATCCCCCTTGCGTGCAATATTTTAAGCTAGATTTTACAGGGTTTTTCCAGAATCGGACAGAAGACCTCTCGTTGCTCGCAATGAGATCATATCTAGTTTATAGAATATCATTCTATTTTAGTAACCATGGCAACACCATTCATCAAATACTGATGCACTATTTGTATCAAATAAATAATATAAGCCAAAGGTTAAAGTGAGTTTTCTGATCACCTGTAGTTGTTGTCACTGTTGTTGTTGTCACTGTTTTCACCTTATTCTCTAGACCATTTCAACCAACGGTGGCAAATATCATACTGTATAAGCAGAATTTTTAGCAAGGATTTAATTTTGGAATTATTAGCAAGGATCCTGAGATTGCTTAAATTGAATATCACTAAACATTGCAATTTAATTTTAGCAGGTTCTCAAGTGAGCATATTTTAAAATCGCTAAAATTACATCTCGCTAAAAATAAACGGTTTACAGGACATATTGCCAAATTTTCGTCTTGCTACAATTTCCACTTATACGGTTACTTATTCAATTTTGTTCAAAGAAAGGGCCAAACCCTAATTCAAGAGGGGGGGGGGGGGGTCTTTAAGAATTAGAGTAAATTTAAAAGGCATCATATCATAAATCTTCTTTTTAAATATCACTGGGCCAGAAAAAAGGAAATTTAAGTGAAAGCTTCATAACAAAGTGTGCAGATTCAAATTTGTTCAAATCATGGCCCATAGGATGGAGCAAAATGAGCATTCAAAATTTTGCATAGGATTGTGAAGGAAAAATCCTCCTTTCAAGAATAGCAAAGTCATGGTAAAACATTTGTAAATATAAGTATCCTGGTTATTGTTCAGATCATGCCCTTGTTTCACAATAAGTTTTTTACCGCCTGCTTGAGTAAAAAGTACAGTTCAATTGGAAAAAATTCTTTCATTTTAGTATGTGGAACTAAAGAATGATATTCTGACCTAAATTGTCTGTAGGAAAATTGATTATAAAGGTTTTTTTCTTAACATGATTTACCTCCTTTTACAGTAACTGTATTAGTGACTTCCCCTGCATTGTGTATTGTAAAAGGGTTACTGGATCTCAAAGCAATAATGGCAGATTTCAATCCTGTTTTAACATCATTTTCTTCAAGCACAGTTGCAGCCAAGTTATCTTGCTTTGTTTGCCTCTACAAAATCAAACCATAAAAGAATATTTTTTTAACAATAAAGAAAAATATCTTTATATGTTCCAAAAAATCCTGCTTGAAAGAATACATTGTGGGCAAAATAGTGAAGGATTGACTGATGAAACTGATCAATCTCACTGTATAACAAATGCGAATCCAGTAATGAATATGATTGGTGCAATTTTACTATTCTTTAAAAAGTTAATTTCAGAAAATATACTCAACCCTGTATAACATGTATATGTATAATAAACTAGATAGTTACATCATGGTTCTGAACACTCCGTATGTAGTTCTCAATTTCCTCATTTGATGCATTTGTTTCCAAAAGTGTTCTAAGACCCTCTTTAAAGTTTGCTGGATCCAATCTATATAGTGAAAAATAAGTTAAATACCAACATCATAGTCTAAATCTATACTTATAAATCAATAAAATTTGCAAATAAACTCCGAAACAGGTGCACCAGAGTTCTTACTTACTCCTCTAACAATACACTGTACAGTATACAAAATAATGTTCGTAAACTATATTTAGATTTCACTTGGATAGTAACTATCGTACATTAAATTTAAAGTCTACTTCAATTTTTATAGCATAACCGTGAGTATGATGGCGTTTCAGGTAGGCGGATCTAAGCTACTGGCAAATTTTAATGAAACTGACAACAAGCAATTGTTTATTTCTTTCATAAAATGTCATCACTGAATTATACAATCAAAACTTGAGAAGTTGCAATGAAACCTTGCATTGCAGATCAATCCATGACCTCTCTATAGCTTCAAAGTGAGCTTAACAAAAATAAACATTTACCCGGTACATGTAATCATTAACATGTAATTGCCATATATCCAAAGTTTAAGAAAAGAAATAAATACTTGATAACTTCAAGTGATCTCTTTTTTCGTCCTCTCATTGTGATGTTATGTGAACAGCCGGTTGGAGGAGATATTGAGGAATTCATATCCAAGATCGTGTAATTTATCTTTCCTGAAGGGTCATTAATAATTCCTTGGATTATTAGGATTGCTTTAATTAGGTAATTTGAAGAATTTTCAGTGATTGTGTAGTTTAACTGAAAGTCAGGCAGGTCTCCAAAAGTCTCTACACTTTCAATACCTGAATTTAAAGACAAAAAAAATCATGCATGTATTGTTAAACATGTCTGAGAATACAACATATTTACTCTGCTTGTAATCATTAGTGATATCTATTTACTGCCTGCTGTGGGAAGAGACTTGACAACTCTTTTGGACTCTATTTGGAACTCCAGATTTTCACAACCAATATCAAGCTTGAAGTAAATTGTCTTGTTTCCCTGGTAGAAGGCACTGTCAAAGCAGCATTCAATCCCTGTGCAGTTACTTAGATAATGACAATACTTTTGTCCATCTGTTGGTATCCTATTTATCTGTGTTGAACTGCAAGCTTAAATAATAGTAAAACTTTATAATGGATACATTATTTCAACTTTCATCTGCATACAATGTTTTAGATATACATGTTTATGTTTACTTGCATATTAATTATATGTACTTATTGTCTAGCATTTATCATGCAGCAGGCAATTCCTGTGCCATACATTGTAGTTTAATATATATGGTATGTACATGTATATACATATTTACCTGATGCATTAAATTCCGAATTTGGACACTCTGTTGCTTTCCAGAAATCATAACTTATTCCTAATAGAAAATAAAAAACAAAACAAAAGATCTTTGCATGAGCCTTTAAAATCACTTGTCCAATGAGTATAAAGATTTTGGTTTAAAATATATTTTATTCATTGAATTAGACTGAACAGCAGGCATAAATGCCTATGATTGCTCTCTCCATATAAAGATATAAAGTATGAAGATTTTCTAACTCTAGGTGAGCTAAAAACTTGAACTTTGGCCATAACTTTGAAAGCTTGGTGCTGGAGCTTTTATATTTCACCCCATTTCTTTGGACAATACCTTCCCCTGGGTAGCTGCAATTTTGACCCTTTGACCTTGATCTTCGAGTTTGACCTACTTTTAGAAATCTTTAACTTTGGTCATAAATTCTGAATGGTGCATGCCACGGCTTTCAAACATCATGAGTGTATTTCTTAGAGCAATATGAGCTGCAACTATGATGTTAAAAAATTCTGTTGCAATATTTTAATTAATATTTCAAAGACAGAAAAAAAGAAATAGTTGCAATAAAATTTGATTGAAGCAAAATTAATTTGTCATCCTATACAATAATAATTTCTTGTATAACCAATACATTTCATTGTACCGAGATATTTCTTGAGAAAAAAAACTTTATTCTAGTCATATTGATCATATAAGTTTAAATCACATACAGATTTATCTTCAAAGCACTCTTTAACAGCAAAATATAATTATATTGATTCAAGACAAAATCTTCCCTTATTTACTTGCAATTTGGACCATTTGACCTTGACCCACTTTTAAGATTCAACTTTAACCTTGGTTATAACTTCTGAATGGTTAATGCTAGGGTTTTTATATTTCATATGTGTATTTATTTAGACAAGATCTTGCCTGGGGTATCTGCAAATTTGACCATGTTAGGAATGAATCTCATTTTTGGCCAAATTTTTTTAGTATAACCCGGTTTGGGTTAGTTTATACACTCTATAATCTGTGAAGTCACACCATTTGCAATGTGGAGGCATCAGTGTTTAAACAACACATCTTGTTTCACGCCAAAATTAATAGTGGTCTGTTTCAAGTGAGACAGATTCCTTAACCTTGTGTTTTGTTTCATAATTATCAAGAAGGATCCTGGGATTTGCTTTAAAATTTCAGTCAGAACTCAATTCATTCAGGCTGACAAATTTTATGGACAAAACAAATGATGGACATCAAAAAGATCAAAATTAATACCTTCTGCTTTTTTCTAGGAGCCTGGGGGAAAAAAATGGAATGATCAATTTTTAAGCCAATATGTTTATCATACCTTTGAATGGTAGTTCTCCATCACTAGCATTACAGGTTTGAAAGTGGAAAGGTAAATTACTGAATACTGTCAGGTTGGTTTTACAGAATTCTTTTTCAAAACACAATCTTATTGTTCCATCCACTAAAAATTTCTTTTTTGATGAGACAGGAGTCACATGATATCTAAAAAGATAGATCATATCATACCTATCTATAAGTCAAAAATACAGTTTTTTGCATGATTGATATGCCTGACATCACAGTAGTTGTATTAGCATTCATGTATTATATACATGTACACAACAGTAAAAGAAATGCATGTTTTAATCAGGTATTGTGGAGCTGTTATGCACCTCTTGCAGAACCCCTGTATTCATTTTGTATATTGGCATATTTTTGCCCTCTATATGCAAGATAAATTATGTTAACATGCAAGAAAATTATGTCAACATGCAAGATAGTTATGTCGACACACAAGAACTACAAATCTTTTAAGTGATTCTGATTTTAATATGTGTAAAGTCCTGTACGCAAGTCTGTTTCTGACATCATAGATGCAAGATGCGACATAATTATGACAAGATGCAGTTTACTTATATTAACATGAGAGATAATTATGATGACATGCAAGATATTCATGTCAACATGGGAGTTAATTATGCAGATGTAACTTATCTATGTGAACATGCAAGTAAATTATGTTAACATGCAATATATTAATGTTAACATGCGAGATAATTATGTAGACATGCAAGATATTAATGTTTACATGCAAGATGATTATATTGCCATGTTATATTGACATAAATTAGTTGCATGTCTACATAATTATTTTTCATGCTGACATAAATATTTTACATGTCTAATAGTACATAATTTTGCTGCATCTTGCATCTACAAAGTCAGATACAGGGTTAGTAAGTAAATTTTCCCATATTTAAATTTTATTTTCTTGTAAGATTGGTATAACTTGCATGTCAACATAATTAACTTGCATGCTGACATAAATATGTTGCATGTCTATACAATTTTTATTTTTCACATGGTATATAACAAAGTAAATAGTTCCAATGGTTCACGGTCCTTCACCATTACAAAATTAAAGCTCAGACAAGATTGTAGGGAAAGACAGACAAGGTGTTCCTAGATACCCATCCCAAAAACTTCATTTGCATGGGGTTTAATATATTATTTTTATTTCTTACCCCCAATGAACAACACCATGTATACCAATTTCTTCCCATCTACCTGAAAAGGCAAAGAAGCCAAAGGCCTTAAAAATCACCAGATTATCAATAGGCAAATTTCTTCTGAAATACAGTGAAACTTCTCCAAACCGGCCCCCCTGGAAACCGGTTCTCCCTGAACATCGGCCAAATTTAAAAGTCCCGGCAAAATTATTAACATTTCTTTACACATAAGCTCTCATAAAACCGGCCACCCCTGAAAACCGGACACCGGCCACTTTTCCAAGAACGAAAGTTAAGAAACATAGGAAATTTCCCCTCATCATACCGGCCACTTTTTGATTGCAAGAAATTTAACTGTCATTGGCCAGAAGGGTAATAATGACCGGCCGCAGGTGTGAAAAATAACCTACCCACAAGAAGTCAAAGGTGTGAAAAACTGAATATGGCCTCATAGGGTTTTCTATTGTTAGCCGTCTTGAAGGGGTAGTCATCGTGCCAGACTACGAAAATGGCCGGTCCAAGCTGTGTACATATGATTAACATCAATTAAACTTGAATTAATAAAATATCAAGCAACTAATAAATCTAAATCACGTACATAATGAATCGCAAATTTTCGCACGCCATATTGCATCATCTTTTTAAATACACATAAGCGGCCTTAAAATTGGGCATTGTTAAATAATGCTGAGGGAAAAAAATTAAATAAAATGTTTACCAAAATATACATTTCATAATTAAAATAACAGAAGTTTTGCTCAGAGATGTTTTAGTTATTACTTTTAACTGAAGTACAAATATTTTTTTTAATGACGTAAGCGATACACATGCAGTATCAGATAAGGTAAAGTGTCTGGCTTATTTCTTCTAGTAACTTTCCCTGTTTTTTGTGTTCTTATTTTCTAATTTCTTATTATAAAAATCAACATGTATGTCGAATATATCCTCACTTATAATAATTTCTATTTTTTTTTTAACCTTAAGAATACATTACGTGTCTGCCGATATATATTAAAACATGTTGACAGATAATTATAACAGACACCAATTATATATTTTTCCTAGCATCTGTCACACAGTTCTACATTTCTTCAGTATGTTAGATCCTCGGGAAACCGGCCACCCCTCTAGACCGGCCATTTTATTCAGTCTGGCAGCTGGCCGGTTTAGAGAAGTTTTACTGTACTTCTTACTCAAAAAGCATATTCTACATCATTGTAAGCCTATTGCTCCTTACACAACATACTGAAGATACTGAAGTGTGTTTGAGAAAACGAATGAAAAAGAGCTAAGTAGAAAATAAATATTAGTAACAAAGAAGTTACAAAGAAGTCACTGGGATCTCAAATTCCCATTCCTTATATCTGAGATTCTTTACAAGAGGCTCATGGGCCACAATGCTCACCTGACTAACTTTGGACATGCTGTTGTTCACCAGATTTAAATTTCCTCCTTACGATACCTAGTTTAAATTCCCTATTGTGGCCCAATCTTACACCCAGTGGTTATGATTTGAACAATCTAGAATCTAAACTTCCTAAGGATGCCTTCACCTAAGTTTCAGCTTTTCTGACCCAGTGGTTCTTGAGAAGAAAATTTTGAAAGATTTTTTCTGTATACTTTAATGTAAAACTTGGATTGTCTATTGTGGTCCTATCCTACTCCCAAGGATCATCATTTGAACAATTTAGAATCTACACTTTCCCAGGATGCTTCCATAGAAGTTTTAGTTGTTCTTGGAAGTTTTTTTTTAAATTTATTTTTTACATATATATCATTTCAACAATTTAAACTCCCCTTCACCCAATGATATCTAATACCAACATTGATTAAAACTGGCCCAGTAGTTTTTGAGAACAAGTTGAAAATGTGAAAACATTACAGATGGAAGAATAGACAGCTAGACAGACATACAGACAACAGATGATCTGAAAAGCTCACTTGAGCTTTCAGCTCAGGTGAGCTAATAATAGCAAAAGAAACATTATGCAAAGTCTTTATGGGATAAGTGAGTTTTCAATAAAAAAGTTTTACAGCAAACAGCTTGTTTTCGAATACCGTAATTTTCGGATAATAGGTCGATACTTTTTTCTCAGAACCGCTGGGGTCGCCCAATATACGAATTCGACCTTTTTTAAGGCTCAAGTTTACGAAAAATGCCCCCAAATCAATAAAATTTACGTCAATTTCAAAGCAAATCTGTGCCACTTTCATAACTTTTTCATTATTTTACGCAGAAAAATTAATGCCAAGGTAAACAAAAAAATATTTATTCTATAGCTTTCTTACAAAATAAATTCCATTAATTATCTGTTGATGACAAAAGAAAACAACATTGATTCATCTATTAAATAATTCCTCAACGTATTATCCATTAACATCACGCGGTATCCATCTTGTGAAGTAAGGAAATCGCTACCGTTTACTAAAAGTAAAACCGCAACCGTATCAAAATTTTAAAATACGGAAAAATTTTCAAGATCACAATTGTAGTGTTTTTACCATTTATTAGTAGCGATAAATTGAAATAGTATATTAAATATTTTTTATTGTCTTAAGCAAAGAATTAGTAATAAATACGGGTGACAGAAATATAATTTACATTGAATTACCGGTATACAAAGATTGGCTTCTAACAGAATTTTAATTGTCTGAAAGATAAAGGGATTTACACTGTGTACGCAAAGGTGTAACACCTGTGGTTTAAATGCCTGCGGGGCATGATTATAACAAACCCACGTGCCGTTATAGGCTATTAGTGTTACACATCATTGAACAAACAAAGCCATGAAATTCATGTTGACAGTCAAATTGTCAATGTACTCTCAATTAAATTTATAAATTATATAATTTATGAATTAAACTTATTAGAGTGTTAATATGATTTCAATTCTTTACTGTTGCTTGATATATACATTCAATGGTCATTTGCGTGTTTTAGCGAATCCCTGGAGAAGAAAAATAAAAATGGCGGACATCGAAGTAATTGTCGTCCACCGGTAAATAATGTCTGAATAAAGCTAATAGGAATGTGTCCAAGTTGTTCTGAAATCGGAATTACTATTCTTTGGTCTCGGTTATTTCCCGAATATTATAGCTGTAAAAGAATAATGTATTTACATGTTATTTATGCCTTTGATTTAACAACGGTGTGAAACTACGGAGGCATTGAACAGGCAAGTTGGAAAAAAATAAGTAGTAACACAATTCAAAGAAGTTTTAACTACTTTTTAAAAAAAAAAAAACTTCATTTAAATTCTGTACTCATTAAAATACCTGTTTAATTTCTTGATACGTTTATGTCACGGAATAACCCCGGTAATTCTAGGGGTTTACCTGTTCTGATAAGTTGTACCTGCGTAAGAATCTTTAGAAAACGGGAATCAAAGCCTCGTCCTATATAGTAAGTTTGTCCTATCTTAGGATTTTTCAAAAATTAAGGCTAAAAATGAGCCTTTCGACCTATATACCCCATCGACCTATAACCCAAAAATTACGGTAGTTCAAAGGTAAATAAGATTTTTTAACACTTAACCCAGCAGGACTAAAATTTAATGATGTGAAGTTAGTTTCATTTCTAAAACAAGATCACAAAAATCAGAAGAAGAATGAACATTTGAAATGAAAATGACTGTGTAATATCAATAAATGAAGGCCTATAAAAACTCTCCTTTACCCCAATCACGGTCAAGTATTCTGTATGGTACTTTGAGATTGTCGATGACGCCTTCCATGTCATAGGTACACGTGTCTATGATGAGCTCCATCTGTGCATGTCTCTGGACGGGTTGTATGTACACACAACACATAACCCTATCACAGGAGGACGGCACATGACAACGGACTGTGTCTGTGTCACTGATGTCGGTTAAAGTGTCATTGGGAAACAATTTACACTCTGAAAAAAAAATGTCAAGAATATTATTCAATATATAATTTTAAGGATTTAAGGTATGTTACACCTCAGCTTTTTAGAGAAGTTCAGTCAGAACCTCTTACTTCAAAACTATTTATTACAATTAAATTGTTTTTACATATTAAATTAAACAATGTTAACTGTTCAACATTCAATTAAACAAGAGGCCCAGGGGCCACAGGGCTCACCTGAGCACACCAGGCTTGAATTTACCCCCCCCCCCCTCCAGGCTTTCATCATATATAAAAAAAACTAGAATCTACACTACCTGAGGATGATTCCATATAAATATCACTAATCATAGCTTTGAAGTACTTGAAAAGAAGATTTTAAAAGGTTTCTCTATATATCCCTTTAGAGTAAAACTTAGGTCTGCCATTTTGGCCCCACCCTTGCCCTGGGGGTCATGATTTGAACAAACTTGAATCTACACTACCTGAGGATGATTCCACATGAATTTCATCTTTCCTGGCCCAGTGGTTCTGGAGAAGGATTTTTAAAGATATTTCCTATATATTCCTATGTAAAACTCAGGTCGGCCATTTTGGCCCCACCCTTGCCCCAGGGGTCATGATTTGAACAAACTTGAATCTACACTACCTGGGGATGATTCCACATGAGTTACATCTTTCCTGGCTCAGTGGTTCTGGAGAAGAATATTTTTAAAGATTTTTCTTATATATTCCTATGTAAAACTAGGGTCGGCCATTTTGGCCCCAACCTTGCCCCAGGGGTCATGATTTGAACAAACTTGAATCTACACTACCTGAGGATGATTCCACATGAGTTTCATCTTTCCTGGCCCAGTGGTTCTGGAGAAAAGATTTTTTAAAGATTTTCCCTATAAATTCTTATTTAAAACTAGGGTCGGCCATTTTGGCGCCACCCTTGCCCCGGGGGTCATGAATTGAACAAACTTGAATCTACACTACATGAGGATGATTCCACATGAGTTTCATTTTTCCTGGCCCAGTGGTTCTTGAGAAGAAGATTTTTAAAGATTTTTCCTATATATTCCTATGTAAAACTTGGGTCGGCCATTTTGGCCCCAACCTTGCCCCGGGGGTCATGATTTGAACAAACTTGAATCTACACTACCTGAGGATGCTTTCTCATGAGTTTCATCTTTCCTGGCCCAGCGGTTCTGGAGAAGAAGATTTTTTAAAAATGCCATTATTTTTTAATAAATTCATGATTATCTCCCCTTGGAAAAGGGCGTGGCCCTTCATTTGAACAAACTTGAATCCCCTTCACCCAAGGATACTTTGTGCCAAGTTTGGTTGAAATTGGCCCAGTGGTTCTTGAGAAGAAGATGAAAATGTGAAAAGTTTACAACGACAACGACTACGACGACAACAACAACAACAGACAACGGACAAATTTTGATCAGAAAAGTTCACTTGAGCCTTCGGCTCAGGTGAGCTAAAAATGCTCAAAATTACCAATTAATGAAGGTACAAAGAACTCAGATAAGAAGAACCGAAACATTTACCATTGTTCCATCCATTTGTGTCAACACCTCCATACACACTGTCTGACAATGAACACTTTTCTGATGTTGTCAAGAAGTGATCAAGCCCAAGATTTAATAACAATTCACTTGCTTGTGAACGTTTGATGTTTTGTACTTGGTCAATGGATCTATTTCCCATCCAATGCATTAGTGAAAAATCTAGAAATAAAAGAAAGAAATGTTACAGATATTACAAAGCTCATAACAAATGTTGTCCTTAAGTAAGGCAAACCTCAAACATAATCTTCCCAAGATCCAACTTTCTGCAAGAAGAGGGTATTTATAGGCTTTAAACCTGTTGCCCAATCTATTCAGTTTATACTGAATAAATATCGTTTAAATCAACTTTCTGCGATTTTGATCTGATGGGGCTTGCAGAGACTTGGGAATGGACTTATCCAAGGACTTCAAACAAGTCACACATCCAAAAAATGTCATTCAAATCCAGCATCTATAGCAAGTTTGAGATTGTCCATTCCTTAATATATCATCCATGCAAGCTTGGTTTAGATATAGTTTGTTGGTGGATAGACCTACTCATAAAATTTTAACCTGGTTACTCAGCTGGAAATGTAGCCAAGTCAGTAATGAACATCTTTAGATTATCATTCATGCAAGTTTCAATTGGTCAATATAAGGCTTATAATTATTAAGAATGAACCTGCTCTAAAAATTTTAACGTGCTCACTTATCAGGTTTTTGAAGGTCAAAAAATACTTTAAATATCAAATTGGTTTACTGTGAAATCACAAATTTTCATGGGGGTTAATTTTCGTTTTTTTTTTTGTGGTATGAAGAGACCCACATATTCATGTCCACCACGAAATATTAAAATGTTACATACATAACTATTAAACAATTCTTCATCCGAATTCAAATCTCCATGAACCAACTTTACTCAAACCACAACAAATTGACCCCACGAAAATATGTGGTTTTACAGTAACTGGCATACCATAACCTATCCATGGTTTTAGGATATCAATCTAAACATAGCAAATACTGTAGATCACAAAATTTTCGCGACACTTTATTTTCGCGAGATAGTCATTGACTCTTGATAAGCGAGACAAAATTTTCACGAATTGTGGTTATTGCTCTATATAATCTTATGGAATACTATTATACGCAAGAATTAAATTTTCGCGAGCACACTGTCTCGCGTAATTACGCGAAAATAAAGTTCTCGCGAATAAAAAGTGATTTACAGTATTCATCAGTACTGTTGATTAACATTCCTCTCTTTGTTTTAAATTTGAATATAAGAAAGCTTTGGCCTTTTCAGATTTCACTGAGGTGAATTTAAAAGGAATTGATTTAAATTTTTGATTAATTTGGAGTACTAGTAATCTTTGGATTATCTGTTCTGATTCATCGTTCCAATTATATTACTCATTTCTGAGTTTGCCTTCAGTAAATCTTAAAATCAACATTATTGAAATCACACGTTTCCAGACATTATTTATTACTCACTTGAATTAAAAAACCCATCCTGATACTTGCAAATCTTCATTTGAATATTTGTCTGATTTAATATGGTATAATTTTGTTCACACTCTCCATCTTCAAAACATGCTGCCACATCAAGATCAAACAAGTATCTTCTATTTTGCATATCTCTGGTAATTGAGTACCTAAAACAGAAAGAATAAAGAAGACCCAAATATCTTTTCCTAGCTCCTATGTAAGTGAACAAATTTAAAGCCGAGGTTTTCAACCAGGTAAGTTTGGTAAGGAGAAAGTGGGTCATATTTAAGATAAACCCTACTTGATTTACCATAACACATGGTCTGTAAAATGGCCAGGGGTTATGACCGCTGATGATTCCCTGACAGCTAGGCCTATGGGTGAAACAGGAATGGAATCATCAGCATTATACTTTTTTTTCGGGATTCATATTGAAATTGATTAAATTCAAAGCAAGATGTTATATGTTATATAAGGTGCTGACATCGCTAAAATTAAATATCGCTAAAAATTAATTGCGTATAATTTGTAATAAATTCATTAGTTAGCATTTTAAAAATCGCTAAAATTACTTCTCGCTAAAAATAAAACACCAGATTTTAGGTAGAAATCGCTAAATTTGCGTCTCGCTAAAATTTCCACTTATACGGTAATATTTAGCAATTAATATCCTAGGCCATGTGTCTAGTTTGACTCTTAACCTTTGTCTTGTAACCTAATAATCAAGAGGGATCATCAACTGTTTCAGTAAAAATAATAAAGTTAGTATTTCAAATTTTATGTCTGTCACACAAAGGGTTCTAAAGATATCTTTCCAATGTCTAGTTTCAACCTAAGCCCTGTGACCTACAAATCAAGGAGTCATCAACTGTAAAATATCTTTCAAGTAAACAGCTCTCTAGATATTGAACAGTCAATATTGTCTTGTGTCTAAGAGTGGTTTGATCCTTCCCTTTGTGATCTCAAAATCAAGAGGCGTCATATTCTGTTCAAGGGTAACTAATTAATGTGCCCATTTTGATGTCTGTCTAGCAAATGGTTTTTAAAATATCGAGCATAATAATGGACAGGTGCAAAGCAATCTGCAATTTTTCAAGGGGTGAAAATATCAAATATTAAATGAATTTTTATTATCTACCTGTAGTTTTAAAAAAACTTACGTAACTTCAAAGATTCCTTTTAATGAGAATTTCTCTGTCATGCCTAAAAAGATGAATATTATTTGTATAATAAGAACCCACAGTCAGTATGTTTATTATTGTGGTATACCAAACTTTACTTTTAATAATTTTACAGTAACACAGAGCTATTAGGGTAAAAAAATTATCAAATTTCTTAAAGGTGACTGCACTTAATGATGTGGTTTGGATCTTTTTCGGTTGCTACTGTTGCCTTAAAATCTTAACCTTATTTCACATTTGTATTTTTACTACAGGAATCTGTCAATTTGATGCCAAATTTAAATGTTAAAAATAACTTTTATCTGTTTATTCAGTCACAAGATGAGGTTAATATCTTGATATCAAAATATAAAAAAAAAATTTATATATATACATATAAGAAAATGTCTTATTATACATTGAATATTGTGTAAAACAATTTAGAGCCTATGTAGTGGTCTTTTTGTGATGTTGAAATCATATTTGAAAGCAGATACTTAAAACATCCAGTAAATAAAAGAATGATGTGGCATATAGGTACATACACTGTACTATGAGAAGTCCAAAGAAATAAGACTATGTTGTACCAACAATCAATGATCATTTTAAAAAAGGGCAATTACCATATACAAAGTTATGCAGATATTTTGTCTGGGACAGTCCTTCAATGGTGAGTTTCAAAAAATTGGAACATTCATCAAATTCCACAGATACTTCAATAGTTCTCTCATTCAATTTTGTCACCTCCATACAACAGGATAATGCACTGCAGGATGGTTGAAAGACACATGTCGTTCCATTTGGTAAAATAGGTAAGAAGGGGTCTTTCAGACAGTCTGAAAATACAAGTACATTGAGCATTAGACAAGAATTCTGATTATCAAGAGTAGCCTGGAATCCATGAAAGTACACAATAAAACAAAATAAGCTGATCGATATATGACAATATCCTTCCAACAAGTGGCCCATGGGCCAGATCATTCACCTGATCACAATGGCTAGAAAAAAGCAGACATTAGTTTAGAATTTAAAAGATTTACCATATGTGATCACATACACACCTCTACCCCTGGGAGAGGGATAGGGGGCTTGGTTCATTCAAAAATTGAGAGAGCTTTCAGATTTCTTTTGAGTTGCTATGACTTTAGATTTTTTTCTTTTTGTTTGATCTTCTATTGTGGCCCATCTCAAAATCTACACTACCTGAGGATGCTTCCTTATAAAAATAATCTATCTTGACTTTGCTGTTCTTGAGAAGATTTTCATATATATTTTGATCTTCTATTGTGGCCCATCTCAAAATCTACACTACCTGAGGATGCTTCCTTATAAAAATAATCTATCTTGACTTTGCTGTTCTTGAGAAGATTTTCATATATATTTTGATCTTCTATTGTGGCCCATCTCAAAATCTACACTACCTGAGGAAGCTTCCATCTAAAAATCATCTATCTTGACTTTGCTGTTTCTGAGAAGATTTTCATATATATTTTTATGCATAAAACTTTCACTCATTGTACCCTACCTCCAGGAGTGATGATTTGAACTAATGAGAATCATTTTTCCAGGAAGCTTTCACCTCAGTTTTATCCTTTCTGGTCCATTGGGTCACGAGAAAGGATTTCTAAATAATCAAACCTAATCCTTCCTTTTTCTTAATCACCTCCACTTGAAAGAAGGTGTGGCCTTCATTTTAACAAACTTAAATTCTCTTCACCCTAAGATACTCTGCACAAAGTTTAATTAAATTGATCCTGTGGTTCTGGAGAGTGGAGAAGAAGTAAACAAGGACAACAATGCCAGAAAACAGGCAAACCTTGATCAAAGCTCACTTGAACTTTCTGCTCTGGTGAGCTAAACAGCATAGTCCATGCAATTCTGCTCAATATAAGGCATAGGTCAATTTTAGTTTTTTTGGCAATTATAAAACTGTTTTTCAAATCAATTCTACTAATCAAAGTCTCCTGGTTTCTGACTTACCATTTATCCATCCATTGACTGAAACTGTTGTGTTGTACAGAGGACCTGATAAATCACAGGAGACTTTCTTCATCACATTAGCAATTCCTCTATCTTCAAACAACAGATCCTGCAGAGTGCTTGATACCGAAGAATTGGAAGAATAATTCACTCCAATGCTCTTGAACCATTTCTTTAAGGAAAACCCTAATCAACACAGAAATTTTTTCCCAAATTATTTTTCAAGGCAAAACTGTAGCTAAGGTTAACAAAGAACTGACAAATTGGAGTCTGACTGTATAGCTTTGGCAGTGTTTGTAAACTCAAAAGTGTATATATAAGAAGCCTGATTTAGAGTTGGATAAAGGGTCATTCATCAATAAAAATGAGAGGTCTGCACTCAGCTAATACAGGCAAACTCCTTATTTTGAAGCCAAAGGGATCAAGAAAAAAATTTGAGATATCTAAGCCTTTGAGATATTGAGGGCAAAAATATTCTTAAGTGGTTCAGACTTCCATATCCCTTCAAGTCCCAATGGTATAGCTGTTCATTATTATAGAAAATACCTACCTTCCAAACTCTTTGTCCAGTCACATTCTGATTTACGAAGAATTGCATTTTTCAACACCGAGACTTCAACATCACAGTTTCCTCTACTTTCAAAACACACACTAACATTTAGGTCCATCTGGTATGCATGATCAAAGGGAAGATCATACAGCACCAAGCTGCAAAATACATGTGAATATATAAATATATGTACATAATGTACACAATAACTGTGATGTTGAATATGAGAGAAACTTCCTATTATGAAAAAAAGTAAATGTTTCTTTTCATCTTAAATCAGGTCCTTATTCAAACCAAAAAAATATGTAAGAGATGATTTATAACTTACTTCATTTTTATCATTCCAAATAGACTGTAGTGTTCAACCTTACCTAAAGTACAATGAAAATAATGCCCATATGAATATAACCATTTACTAGTAGCTGAATGCAATGAAGATGAATAAAAGAGAGAAAATGAAAGGATGGAGAGAGAGATTACCATATTCAATCTCTTGCAAATCAACCTCTATTTTCAGCCTTTCTAAATAAACCATCATCCTCTTTGAGCACGGATCAAGCTTAAGATGAACACTGAATGACCTTCCCATTTTTTCCACAATGATGCAACAGTTGATGGAGCTACAGCTGAAATCCAAGTAACATCCAATAGGGGCAGAGGTCAGGTTGTTAACTTGGACATTAGGACAGACTGCAATTACCAAGCATTATATACATTTACAAACCATATGAAACTGATTACGTGTATTTATAATTATAGTACTTGAAAATTCAAAAGTATTACACATAATTACATCTGATCAAATACTCCAACTTACAGTTATTCCAGCCATCCTCTAAAGCAGAGAAATTATATATTTCTTGATCTCGACAAGATTCAGACAACAGGTACTGTGCAGTCCTCATTTCTCTCATCAGCTCTGCTGATTGGTGTTTATTCAGTGGAGGAAGGTATCCATTGTTGATCATCCAAGCAGACCCAGAGAAATCTGAAAGAATTGGATATCTGATGCATAAATAGCAACAGAAAAAAAAATTAATGTTTCAAATCAATGAAAATGTGCAAAGCCATAAAAAAAACAAACTTTAATATCATTAAGTTTTTTTTAAAATATCTTTACAAAAATGTTCTATATAAATTGATAAATCAAATTGCAAAGGCCACCATGCAAATTTTAGAGAATTCTAGACATGCACTTTTTTAAGGGGAGGTCCATAACTTTAAAAGTTAAAGGTAAGGGACTAATATATAAAACTATAGCACTTCAGTTCTACAGCTACTTTCAAATTATATTGCTTAATTATGTACTTGAGTTGACAAATCCTTCATTCCAGTCACATGGTTGTTTTGGGAGCAGCACATTGTTAAATATTGTATGGTTGGCTTCACATGAAGAGCTTTCTGTACAGACACTGAGCTTGACAGTTGCAAGATATGCTTTCTCATTATGCAGGTCTCGTAGGTTGTATCTGTAATACATAATAACAAATTTCAAAACAATTTTTTTAAAAAAGTGATAAAAGTGATTAGAAAATTTATCAATACACAGACAGAGAGATGGACAGATATGCTGAATTCATGAAAACCCCAAACTTTGACTGATAAAAAATTTAATTAATAAATTTTAAAGTTAATATTTACATTATTTTCAAAATACCAGCCAGAGAAAACACCTCATCTTCTCCTAATAAAAGAAACAAAGGTAAAACACCAGTTTAGAAAACATTGATGTAAAAATGAAGTACATTATACTGTAAACATATTACATTTGGCGTAGGAGTGAAATGGTTCACCGCGGTATCGGTTCACCACGGTATTTTTTCTCGGTTCGATACACGGTACAAAATCTCTACTTTCGGTTCGATTCGTTTTTCGGTCGGGATCGTCATTCAGTCGAGTTTGGCATAAGGTATAAACATGCTTCTCTGTATAATTAGTTCAAAAACGTAAATTTTTGTGGACTTAAAGTTTGTAAAATGATTTTTAACAGACAAATCAATCAAATTTATTTATTATATCCATTCTGCACATAATTGTTTTGACTAGATTAAGTAAAAGAAAGCATAAAACAACAGTTGAATATGTTACCTTCTATCAAAATGTATCATATCGAAAATAACCGAACCGAGACCAAATTTTATGATATGTATCGAACTGTGAAGGAGGTGTATCGTTTCACCACTAATTTGGCGGTGTATTCTTTTTAGCGTTCTTCACGGAAAGAAACTTCCGCTAATTCAAGTTCAATGCTAAATGTCTTAAACATATATATACATTAATAAGAACATTCAGAAATGCGCTAAATCAAATCTACGCTAACTTGTTCAAAAATCAATTTCTGCCAAATATTGTACACGCTAAATATAATACTTTTACAGTATATACTAAAATTATTGAAAATAAAGTTCAGTTTTACTTGTAACAAATAAAACGTACATACCAAACTTGAACTGGTCTAATGATTTACTGACAGTGAACTTCTCGATGCCGACAGTGAACATATAATTACAGGGGTCCACAGAGAGATAAGCATTGAAAGACATGTTGAAGTCTGGAACATCTACACAGCAGTGAAACCCAGTACACAGTGAGGGGAGATAGCAGGACACTAGAGTGGCAGATCGGGCATCTAAGGATCGATTCACCAAATCCACTTCTAACGGGCACACTAACAAAATAAAAACAAGAAGCCCATGGGCAACATCACTCACATAGCTCTAAGGCTACTAGATAGAAGTCAGTTCAGCATTGAAAGGTTTAAATATACAACAGGCCCTACCCATAATCTCCCTCACATAGCACTATGGCTACAACATAGCTAGCAGATGTCAATTCAGCATTGAAAGGTTTAAATATATAACAGGCCTTAATCTCCCTACCCTGGATGGGCAAGGTATGTGGGCACGGTTTTAACAGGCTTGAATCTACACAACTGCTTCCATATTTTATATGACAAATCATGGCTTAAATTTAATTTTCCTGAGAAATTTACAATGTAATCATTTTTTTCAAAGATGACATAAATGATAAATTAAGGATTAATTATGGATGAATAATCCTTAATTATCTCCTCCTGAAAGAGGATGTGGCCCTTTATTTAAATAAACCTAGATCCCCTTTACTCAAGAATGCATTGTTGAGAGTTTGAATGAAATTGACCTAGTGGTCCTTGAGAAAACATTAAAAAAAACATAAAAAGTTTACAGACAACAGATAGGACAAACAACACACAGACACCAGATACCCTTGATCAGAAAAGTTCAATATAAAGAGAGAAAGGTGAGCTAAATATAAAGAAATTCAAAATTAAAAATCATTCTTAAAACAATATTTGGATTAGTTGAGAATAACAATCAAGACAATTGGATAATATTATTGGAAACATTCTTACTGTTTACTGATCCTGTTGATATTGGTTTAGAAAATCTCCCAGCTCCCCTCTTACAAGGAGAAGGTTCCATGTATTGTGCTATATCAAGATGCTCTAGCAAAAGATATTTTGCCCATGCAGGAATCTGTGTGCTATTGGACACCTTTTCTTTTTGCTTCCATTCAGAAAGGGAGAAACCTAATAAATATCAAATTAAAAAGTTTAACTCAATCTTAGCTGTTAATCTCTCAGATCTTAAACATAAATCACCCCCTTCCATTCTTAGGAAAGCATTACATTTATAGTTTGTCAATTGATTGAATTCAAACATAAAGAAATATAGCTAACTATACTCTTTATGTATAAAGTTAAGATTTTTTTGATTGAATTTTTGGAATATGGAGTTATTGTGTAAGCCCTGATGAATATTAATATAGTAATAATTCAAGACTTGAGCACATACACATCTGACAGAGCTTTAGTTCTAAATGACAACCAAACTGAGTATATACAGTACAGCATGTTTTTTTTTATCATAAATGAGAAAACAAACCCATATTAATATCCTGTGGACATCTCCTTTTTGGAAGCACCGTGTCTTTATAGACCATGAAACTTGTCTGGCATGGTTGATTTGCTTCAAAGCAAATGCTCAAATTCATGTTGACAACATAGAAGTTTGCATCCTTAAAATCATCCAATGAGAATCTTAAAAAAAGACAATGTTCATTACAGCAGCTGAACAAACAGATGTATCCACTGGCAAATAACTAAAATGTGAAAAAAGAAGACTACAAATTCCAAGAAAAACAGTCATAGCTTACTCTAATCTAATTATTCCTCCTAGCTGAAGTTTATCAAATTGTCCTGAAAAAAATACAACCATAATGTAAACTTCATGTTCCATACAATATACATGTATATCAAAAAGCAATTTAAGTGAAAAAAATGTTTATTACAATTGGATTACCCCATTTGTATTGTGTCAATGAAATGTTCCTGCTGAATTTCTCTATGCTAACTTGGAGTTCTGAACTACATGGGTCTATGTTAAGGTAGGTCTTGATATTACGAGTCATGTACTCAACCTCCACACAACATTCTGTTGATGTACAATCCTCTTTTAGGTGGCATACTGCCCCAGAGATGTTGGGTTTGATTATATTCTTCATACAAGCTAAAATTAAACAACAGATTCATGTTTAATCTAAGTAGATATTATTGAGATGATGTCCCTTTCATAATTCTAGCTAAGTCAAAATCAAATTGTTTGCTGCTAAATGATGCCTGGGCAGAAACACATTACAATTCACAATGATTTTAAAAATATGTGTTATTTTTCTACTCTTTTCAATGTAATCAAACGTAATCACTTCTATTAAACAATTAGTATTTTTCACATCATTCTCAGAATTTTCAAAATGGCCCTTGCACATGAAATGACCAAAAAAGTCCTTTACTGTAAAAACTGCTTTATATGACTGTTTAATTTAGAGCTAGTGAATATCAATAATAGGAAGAGTAGAATAAGATCTCTGAATTCATTTTGATGTATATTTACTTTCTTTTCAAAACAGCAAATTATTTAGCTTACATGTAATCCATCCACCAACAGCATACTTTGATGTAGTCCTGCAATGAGGGGTTTCTAAATATTGTGAAATGGCCATTTCATCCATAAGCCTGGACACCATGTAGTCTTTTTGCATTAGTTCCGAAACATTGACTAGGCTGTTCTTTATAAGCCATCCTTTCAGAGAGAAATCTGTAAAAAAAAAAAGTACAAAGGTAAACCATAAAGAAATTTCATAAACCTACCCATTATGGTAGTTTTCAAAAGAAGTTTTCTGTAAACAGTTTCTCACTCAACTTTTTAATTTAAACTATTGGGTATTGTTTTTCTTATACAAAAACTTGACAATGTCTCTCCAAATGATTGCAAGAATATTGGCAGTCTCATTTAAAGTCATCATTTTATACAGAAACTTATCTCTCCAAATGATTGCAAGAATATCAGCAGTCTCATTCAAAGTCATCATTTTAAGAGTTCTATGGTTGATTCAATGACCTTGCAATTGTTGGCAAAAACAATTTCTCATTATCGCAAATCTCGCTCAAAAGTATACACTTTGACTTTATCAGCATTGCGTTGGGTGACGACACAATTGGATTTAACAGTTTTACAATTCATTTCGGCTGTATTCAAACTATACAATGCAACAAAGAATCTGATTGGTGCTTTTTTATAAGCCCGCCCACTTTCTCATATGGAATGTTTCCAAGATAGAACAGCTGTAGAAAACTTGTAAGCAAGTGGTAGGCCCCCTTTTCAGAGGACCCCCTATGCAAAATCTTATTAAATTATTGTGAGTGTGGGTAACTGTAATGATCTTCAAATAATTAATAGTTCCAGGACTGGCCTTATGTCACCATGGGCATATTTTTGTGATTAAAAAAACTCGGTCGTTTTTCCCGTTTTTTCTTCAATACATCAACATGACCAAACATAGGTAATCAGAGATTACAGAGCTCACCTCAACGAATGTTGTCTTTAAGTAAGGCAAAGTCACACAATTAACCAACAAGAGTTCTTCTTCATGAAAATGTAATTAAAATCTAGCATCTGAAGCAAATTTGAGAGTTTTCATCTCTTGATGCAACATTTGTGCAAGTTTGGTTTATACAATGTTATATAAGCCTTATAGTTTTTTGGTAATAGACCTGCATCCATAACTTTTACCTGGTCTATTATCTGAAAATGTTCAGCATCCGAAGCAAGTCCATTAGTGTGCATCCTAAGATGTACAGTAAAACTCGTTTAGTACGAACACGGATATACGAATTCACGGATATAGCAAAGTTTTTCAGGGTCCCCGGCAAAATTCTTAACAAATCTTTGTGAAAATTTACGGTTCTAACGAACTCTGATATAACGAATTCAGGGATAGCAAACTGATTTTGAATCCCGTTGAGGTTAAACATAATGTAATTTACATCTTTTATAACGAACTTTCAAACTTTATAAAAAATTTGAAAAATTAAATTGATTTAATTTACTTTTAGCATTTGTAGATAAAATTTAAGGACGCTATGAACACTGCACACAAAAGAGCTTTATTTATAGGGTAGTTTTTTGCAGTTAGAGTGATCTGCCCTTAATTGTAAGATTAAAGAAATTGTTATTTACAGTAAATTAAATGATTTGTAGTAGATTAAAATATTTTTAGCATTATTTAAGACCAATATTAAGAAATTTCAACAATTATTTTCATAAGTTTTCCCAATGTAAGTAATTAACAGTGATTTCTGCTCACAAATAGTCCATTGTCTTTGGACATTTTTCATGAGCAAATAAGGCACGTACGATATGTTCTAAATCAATGAAAAGTCTCAATATGCATATCTTAAGGGGGGACCTATGTCAAAACTTTGACATTGCTTTCCTGACCACTTGATCTTAATTTTTAGGTATTAAAAACAATACCTTTATATGCTTATTTTTACACAGGAGCACGTGCAAAAACAGTGTGAAATGCTAAAAATAGATTATTTTCAGACATTATCTTTCTCCTCCAAAAATGCGCTAAAAAGAACAAAAAATGTCAAATCACATTTGAAATCAACATGTATTTAATTTATATGACTTGTATCTTTAAAATGAAGGCAAATTCATTGTAATTCATCTCACATGAAAAATTATAAAGGAGCACAATGTAAGTATCACCCCGTTTTTCGTGTCGTATTTTTTACAATTCCGACATGCATAACAGGTAATATCTTAAAAAGTCTTTGTGTGAAAATGTTGTAATTCATATTTTTTGAATGAAATGACCCCTCTCTTTATTTTAACAAGGAAAAAAGTATACCTTTATGATATAATAAACGAGAAATATGACGTTTTCTTTTATTTTCGTACTCTTCTGTCATATATATTGACCTTTCTGCACTAAAAAAAGGTAAGTTAGCACTGACAAACATCTGACTATAAAACTATTTTGCAAAACCGTGTATTTTTTTTTTTTTTTTTTTTTGATAAGAAATAATTTAAACAGATAAACTCTTTTCTTCTTCATTCTAATCATTCTGCCTCCCCACCCCCCCCCCTTCCCCGTGAACAACTAACACCTAATAGAACCTAAGAATGACTTTCTACAGTAAAATCTACATACACTATAAATCAATAAGTAATATAGGTACAAGTACATTTCTTAATTTTTTTCCTAGTTTTATCCAGAAAATACAATAAATGGTCATCATAAAATCAAACATATTTCCCTAATTTAAGCCGCTGTCTTTGCTGAATTTTATCTTATATTTTTTGCATTTATATATCAGCATATCATAGAGGTATTTCTTCACAACTGAAATTGCTATGAATTATCAACCAAAGGAAGAGAATTCTGATATTAACAAACTCCATAAATCATAAAACTGTTTTAAATGATGAAAAAAATTTCTTTTTGTAAACTGTGTACGTTTTTGATTAATAACAATATTATGCCTATAATCACAGTTGCAAAAGTCAGCGGGAAAAAAAACAAACGTCGCTATTGTGACGTCACATAACGCTGCTTTGACGTCGAACGACATAGGTCCCCCCTTAATATGGTATATTTTTTCATGAGTCCAAAAAACAGTTTCTGTTAGTGTTAAGAGCTTCCTTAATTCATAATAAAACCTTAGTTATCGAAGATATGTTTTGTAATATTTGCTTCTCTAACATATTTGGTACATGTAGTAATACTTGATGGAATACTTGCATATTCAATGCGAATTCGCTATTTATGGTTATACGAATTCGTTATACGGATATAACGAATTACGGATATAGCGAAGTAAATTCACAGGTCCCCAGGACTTCGCTATAACCGAGTTTCACTGTATCATCCATGCATGTTTGCTCATTATAGGGCTCATAGTTAATTGGAAATGAAACATGCATCAAAAATTAATATTTTCACTCATCAACAAAAAGTAGGTCAGATTCAGCATCCGAAGCAAGCCCGGTAGTATGCATTCTTATATGTATCATCCATGCAAGTTTGGTCATTAAAGAACTCATAGTTACTTGGAAATGGATCATGCACCAAAAACTTTAACCTATTCACTCAACTGGAAAATGTAGGTCAGATACAGCATCCAAAGCAAGCCTGGTAGTATACATCCTTATATGTATAATCCATGCTAGTTTGGTCAACATAGGGCTTATAGTTACTTGGAAATGAAACCTGCACCAAAAACTTTTACCTGTTCACTCAACCAGAAAATGTAGGTCAGATTCAGCATCCGAAGCAAGCCCTGCAGTGTGCATCCTTAGATGTATCATCCATGCAAGTTTGGTCAACATAGGGCTTATAGTTACTTGGAAATGAAACCTGCACCAAAAACTTTAACTTGTTTACTCAACCGGAAAATGTAGGTCAGATTCAGCATCCGAAGCAAGCCCAGTAGTATGCATCCTTATATGTATCATCCATGCTAGTTTGGTCAACATAGGGCTTATAGTTACTTGGAAATGAAACCTGCACCAAAAACTTTAACCTGTTCACTCAACCGTAAAATGTAGGTCAGATTCAGCATCCGAAGCAAGCCTGGTAGTATGCATCCTAAGAAGTATCATCCATGCAAGTTTGGTCAACATAGGGCTTATAGTTACTTGGAAATGAAACCTGCACCAAAAACTTTAACCTGTTCAATTAACCGTAAAATGTAGGTCAGATTCAGCATCCGAAGCAAGCCCTGCAGTGTGCATCCTTAGATGTATCATGCATGCAAGTTTGGTCAACATAGGGCTTATAGTTACTTGGAAATGAAACCTGCACCAAAAACTTTAACCTGTTCACTCAACCGTAAAATGTAGGTCAGATTCAGCATCCGAAGCAAGCCTGGTAGTATGCATCCTTAGATGTATCATCCATGCAAGTTTGGTCAACATAGGGCTTATAGTTACTTGGAAATGAAACCTACACCCAAAACTGCACCAAAAATGTTAACCTGCTCCAAATACATTAACCTGGTCATTCCTTTGCTGAAATTGCAGCAACTGAAACTTTGACTGGTACAATGAAACACACTTGAACCATCTTCCATGCATGTCTAATCAATATAGGACATAGAAGTACTTAAAAAGAAAACTGCTCCAAAAAACTTAACCTCAACCTGGGACGCCGACACCGACGCTGACGCCGAGGGTATTACATAAGCTCCCCCAACTTCGTTGAGGTGAGCTAAAAAATTAAACGTACTTAGTTTTGGTATATATATAAATTGATACTAATTATTTTGTAGTGAACATATAAATTATATTCGCCATTACAGGAAAAAGTGCACTGCACAAGGATTTCGTTTTTTTTTTTTTTCAGATCGCAAGTTTAAATATTGCCATAACGACAATTAAAATAGGTATGCAGTAGCACACACACATTTGAAACATGGTATTTTTGATACTCGTGACAACAAAACAGTAAACTTTCAATTAAATCCGATGTTTTACCACAAATGAATTTATTTTTTTTCAACGGGTGCTCCGGTACGTATAAGCTGGATATGCTTTCTACGCATGTACGCGTATTCAATTTACACCACCGAAAATTGAAAATGCTGTGAATAGAAAATCGGCAGAATTACATGTAGAATAAAATGAAATTAGTGTTTGTCATCAAACGATATACACGTACAGTCTGCAATAGGAATATATCACATGCTATACAGTGATTTCATAGTTAGTCTATGTTTTTTTTATTCAAAAAGTCACCATCGGTTTTTGACCATCACAAGGCCGTTGGACGCTTTCCAACTTACAAAGGCAAAGGATACTGCATGAGAGTGGGTGGGTCCTAATCAACCAATGAAAGCGCTTGTTTTATAGAATGCAATCTGTGATTCAGATTGTTCAATTGTCAAATCCAATAGTGTCATCACTCAAGGCAACGCTATTTCGGCCGCAGTGTAATACTTTCAGGCGAGATTTGTGATAAGTCAAATGCTGACTGATGTTTTTCATACTAATTGTTAGGCCATTACATGTACAATGAATTGTAGATGGATTTTTCTGTTATTTCCTGATCATGAAAAGGAGCACATGGTGGGTGTGACTGACTGGCAAAGTGATGCTCACTCCTCCATGGCACCTGATCCCACCTCTGATGTTTGGAGGTCCATATTTGCTCTGCTACTATTATTTTTATTGTTTAATGGACTTTTGCACTTGAATACTGTTTGTTATCTCCACATATTTCAATAAAATGACATGAGTAATATCAAAGGCAAGTCTAAATTCTTCAGTTTTTTTTTTCTCTCTCCATATTGCATATTCTTCAAAATAACTTACCAGTACCCATGAAGTGTTAATTTAGCTTCCTTTCTTAATCATCATTAAATTTTCTTGTGTAAAATGTAATTGACAAAGATTTCTTGAGTTATTGCCAAAATATCTTAAATACTGTAAACGTATTACATTTGGCTGTGTATTCTTTTTAGCGGCTTTGGCGGATCACAGCAACCGCTAAATCAAGTACATAGCTAAATGTCTTGCATGTATACACATAAATAAGAATATGAAGAAATGCGCTAAATCAAATCTACACTAACTTGTTCAAAAGTGAATTTCCGCCAAATATCGTACACGCTAAATATAATACATTTACAGTAGTTTTGGAGTTGAGAGGTTGATGAAATATGGGCTTTAGCCTTTAGAAAGCCCAAAATAGGTTTAAATGAGTGGCAAAAATTAAGTTTGACAGTTTGTTCAACAATTTTAACCTGACCTGGCTGAATCACACCATTGAAAGTAAATCTGAATCATCCCTAGGTTGAGTTTACCTTACTTGGAGATAAAAGCAAATGTCTTGATGATGCAGACTAAATAAAAACAAGATATCAAAATATTTAGAACTTTTGTTTAATTTTTTTAAACTTTGTATGATTTAGACTGACTTTTACCTGGGTTAACAAAACCTTCATTTCCAGAACAAATGCCTTTAGGAAACAACATCCTATCCAGAATCTTAAAGGTTTTTGCAGAATCCTTTAGAGGTAATTTAGCTTCATATCGTTCCATCACATGCATGGACACAAGGTATGCCCTTTTTTCTTTCAAATCTTCAATTGTATATCTACAAAATTAACAATTTTTCTTTAAGTGAAAATATCAAAATGTTAGAATATAAATTCCAACTTGAAAATTTTCCTTATTTTTAAAATATATTACTTCAAGAATCTAACGAAATACTAGAGGTCGATGGACAGTCAACTCCGAATTGAGTAAAAATGAACTATTTGAAATAAAAGATCCTTTGAACATTTCTACATATTGCTGTTCTGTGATAACCTTAAAATTTCATACATAAATCCTTTCAAATGACCTAGTGACACTCATCACTTTATAAAGAACCCTATATCCAAATGTTTGCCCATAATGGCATACGTTGCACTGATTATTGATAAGAGTGACTCTGGTACCAAAAGTAACCAACATAGGCAATGAAAGATTATGCACTTCACCTTGATGAATGTTACCAATTAGTTTTTCCAATCTAACAGCTTTTTTTTCAAGTTAGCTACATTTCAAGTTCAATATCCATACCATCTTCGCTAGCCAAAGGTTTCTGATCCGAAATCTACTCTACAACCCTTGGCAGATTTCGCTGAAAATTTTAGAACTCGCGCAAACGAATCTGATTGGCTGCAAAGTCCGAGTCTACACAAGGTTTTTACTAATCGACAATTTTCAGCTGAATTTAAGTCTGTTCATTTTTTATGCAAAATAAGAGTAATATTTACAAGGGATGAAAGTTGGGACATGATCTATGCTTAAAAAACACGGGATTAATTAATTTGAAATTTTTTTCTTTTAATTTTATATTTTTTCAAGAATTATTAAAAGGACCACATAAGTCCGTGTTCGGCATTTTAGGTGCATCAATTTAAGCCAATCAAATGTCACGGCTCATTGATAATAATTGATACGGCAACAAGTAGAAAGTGGTGTCAAACTCTTGACTAACTAGAAATATGTCCATAGGACATGAATGCCCCGCCGAGGATATTTAGTAAAGCAACATGAAAATTCGTATGTGTATAAAATTTGATCAGTTTGGTTCAGGTAGGGGTTATAGTTACTAAGGAATAAAAATGTTGGTCAGATCCAGGATCCGAAGCAAGTCTGTTAGTGTCCATCCCTAGATGCATCATCCATGCAAGTTTGGTTCAGGTAGGGCTTAAAGTTACTTGGAATAAAAATGTAAGTCAGATGCAGCATCCGAAACAAGTTTGGAAGCGTCCATCCCTAGATGCATCATCCATGCAAGTTTGGTTCAGGTAGGGCTTAAAGTTACTTGGGAATAAAAATGTAGGCCAGATCCAGCATCCGAAGCAAGTCTGGTAGTGTCCATCCCTAGATGCATCATCCATGCAAGTTTGGTTCAGGCAGGGCTTATAGTTACTTGGGAATGAAAATATAGGTCAGATTCAGCATCCGAAGCAAGTCTGGTGTTGTCCATCCCTAGATGCATCATCCATGCAAGTTTGGTTCAGGTAGGGTTTATAGTTACTTGGGAATGAAAATATAGGTCAAATTCAGCATCTGAAGCAAGTCTGGTTGTGTCCATCCCTAGATGCATCATCCATGCAAGTTTGGTTCAGGTAGGGTTTATAGTTACTTGGGAATGATAATATAGGTCATATCCAGCATCCGTAGCAAGTCTGGTTGTGTCCATCCCTAGATGCATTATCCATGCCAGTTTGGTTCAGGCAGGGCTTATAGTTATTAGGGAATTAAAATATAGTTCAGATCCAGCATCCGAAGCAAGTCTGGTAGTGTCCATCCCTAGATGCATTATCCATGCCAGTTTGGTTCAGGTAGGGCTTATAGCTACTTGGGAATGAAAATGTAGGTCAGATTCAGCATCCAAAGCAAGTCTGGTCGTGTCCATCCCTAGATGCATCATCCATGCAAGTTTGGTTCAGGCAGGGCTTATAGTTACTTGGGAATTAAAATATAGTTAAGATCCAGCATCCGAAGCAAGTCTGTTAGTGTCCATCCCTAGATGCATCATCCATGCAAGTTTGGTTCAGGTATGGCTTAAAGTTACTTGGGAATGAAAATGTAGGTCAGATTCAGCATCCGAAGCAAGTCACGTTGTTTCCATCCCTAGATGCATCATCCATGCAAGTTTGGTTCAGGCAGGGCTTATAGTTACTTGGGAATTAAAATATAGTTAAGATCCAGCATCCGAAGCAATTCTGCTAGTGTCCATCCCTAGATGCATCATCCATGCAAGTTTAGTTCAGGTAGGGCTTATAGTTACTTGGGAATGAAAATGTAGGTCAGATTCAGCATCCGAAGCAAGTCTGGTCGTGTCCATCCCTAGATGCATCATCCATGCAAGTTTGGTTCAGGCAGGGCTTATAGTTATTAGGGAATTAAGATATAATTCAGATCCAGCATCCGAAGCAAGTCTGGTAGTGTCCATCCCTAGATGCATCATCCATGCAAGTTTAGTTCAGGTAGGGCTTATAGTTACTTGGGAATGAAAATGTAGGTCAGATTCAGCATCCGAAGCAAGTCTGGTCGTGTCCATCCCTAAATGCATCATCCTTGCAAGGTTTGTTTGGGTAGGGCTTATAGTTCCTTAGGAATGGACCTGCTCCAAAAACTTTAACCTGGTCACTCATCAGGAAAATGAAGGTCAGATCCAGCATCCAAAGTAAGTCTGGAAGTGTTCATCCCTAGATGCATCGTCCATGAAAGTTTGGAATGGGTAGAGTATATAGTTCCTTGGAAATGGACCTGCTCCAAAACCTTTAACCTGGTCACTTATCTGGAAAATGTAGGTCAGATCCAGCATCCGAAGCAAGTCTGGTAGTGTTCATCTCTAGATGCATCATCCGTGCAAGTTTGTATCAACATGTGAAGTTTGGTAACACCAACTTGAATGGTATGTTCAAATCTGAGCTAAACACCAATTTAAGAAAAGTGAGGTCAAGGTCAAAGGAAAGGTCAGGGTCAAGAAATGTTGATGCAGTTGCATAGCTCTCATCAATATCTATCAGCATATGAAGTTTGATGAAAATATCTTGGATAGTTTCAAAGAAACTTAGCTTTGAACAGAGCTAAACGCAAAGTGTGACGGAAGACCGAAGGACGGAAGGACAGAAGGACGGAAGACAGACATGACAAACACTATATGCCCTGGCCATATTCATGGTGGGGCATAAAAATCCACGGAGAACAATATTTTCTACCATTTTTGAGGTGTGCCCACTGCCCACAGCTGTATGAAGTTGTTTGGATATATTCCACATCAAATTGCATGGAGGTCGCCATATTGTTTCAAACGTCATATTGATCTACGTATGTTACAGCTATATTCATTGCACAAATATTAAAGAGGTTCAAGGGACTTAACTCAATTACGGCAATAGGTGGTGCTATCAAAGTTCCCGTTTGATAGGGCTAAATCTGCCAAGGGTTGTAGAGTAGATTTCGGATTGGAAACCCTTGGCTAGCGAAGATGTATCCATACAAGTTTGGTTTAAGAAGGACTTGTATGAACCTCCTCTGAAAAATTAAAAATGTTTACTCGTCAAATAAAATTTTAATCGGTTCTAACAGCCACTGCAAGTATGGAAGTGCCCATCCTAACCTGCATCTACAATAAATATTAAGCAATGGAGCTACTCCTATAACATATTACCGTGGTCACTCATCTGGAAAATGTACGTCAGATTCAGAATCCAAAGCAAGTCTGGAAGTGCCCTTTCCTAGATGCATCATCCATTCATCCATGATAATTTGGTAAAAGAATGGACAAAAGTCACTCATGTGAAAAATAAGATCAGACCCAGCATCTGAAGCATACCTATATGCATCATCCATGCAAGTGTAGAGCTATAATACTTAGGAGCAGACTTGCTCAAAAAAATTTAACCTGTGCACTCATCTGCAAAATCTTGGTATTTACTAAGATACAGCATCCGAAGCAAGTTTGATAGTGCCCATTGCTAAATGCATCATCCATGCAATTTTGGTCCAGCTAGAGCTAATAGGTACTTTGGAATGGACATGCTCCAAAATCTTTAATTGGTCACTCATCAGGAAAATCTAGGTCAGATCCAGCATCCAAAGCAAGTTTGATATTGCCTTTTGATCTATGCATCATCCATGCAAGTTTGGTCTACATAGGGCTTACTATGTACATGTAATTGGGCATTTACCAGCTGCATAAAATTTCACACATCTGCAAAATCTTGGTTGGATATAGCACCAGAAGCAAGTTTGGTAGTGCTCATTGTTAGGTGCATCATCCATACAAGTTTAGTCCAGGAAAGGCTTATAGGTTCTTTGGAAAGTCGGATCCCCCTGACTTAATTTGTAGAATTATTAAATGTATACATATATACTGAAGCAAATAAAATACATGTATGTCAATATGCGTATAAAGATTTGATTGCTTATTCTTTATTATGTGTATAGAAGATTCTTCTGTCACACTTTAATGATTATTTTATAACCTCATAAATTATTCTTTTCACATGCTGAATACTATCATTTAAAAAAAGAAAAGTTAAAAAAAAAAAAATAAGCTCACCCGGGACTCGATCCCGGGACCTCTCACATGTGAAGCGAGAGACATACCACTAGACCACGGAATCGCTATAAATGAAGGCAAGTATATGCAGAAGTCAAGTCACATTCATGTATATATTAATGTTCAGTATTGTCAAAATTTTACACAATCCATGGTGTTTGATTTATTTAGCCTTTATTAAACAGTTCTAATAGATGTAATAAGAACATAAGGTTCGCCGAGAACCTGTTTTATACGCAATAACTCTCCGCATGCCCCTGTGCTAAAAATAGCGACATGTAATACTATAAATACTAATAAAACAAACGGGGCGGGGCACTTTGAGAGGGGTGAGAGAGGTCCTAGGGAGTTTTAGTATAAAATTACATTGCATAAGCTCTAAATCTTCTTTACATATCGCGTGGAAATGATAGTGTTACACACAGACAGAATGTATAGATTTACGACCTTGAACTTTGAACCTTTTGATCTCAAAATCAATAGGGGTCTTCCTTAGGCCACAGGGAGTTGTTATGTAAAATTTTATTGCAATAGCTCAAATGGTTCTAGAGATATCGTGTGGAAACGAAAGTGTTATGACAGACAGAATTTGCTTATTTATGACCTTGACTTTGGACCTTTTGACCTCAAAATCAATAGGGGTCTTCCTTAGGCCACAGGGAGTTGCTATGCTAAGTTTCATTGCAAAAGCTCTAAGGGTTCTCGAGATATCGTGTGGAAACGAAAGCGTTACAGACAGACAAAAAGACGGACGGACGGATGGACAAACCCAAATTAATATCCCCCACTTTTCAAGTGGGGGACAAAAATAAAAGGCTGGCCATCAATTGACATATGTATGCTATAAACTGACCAACAGTTCTTCTGTCAAATTCCTAAGGGATACAGATAAGACTGCTTGATCAGAGATGCTATAAGAAATGATTGAGACAGCTAGCCTTCTTCCTACATTGAACTCATTAATTAATCTTTCACTGGATGCTTGTCTACTCATTACTACCAAGAGATGAATGGATCTCCACTACTTACCATAAAACATTTTTCAACAAACATATAAAAACAAGAGGCCCATGGGCCACATCGCTCACCTGAGAAGCTTTGGCCATTCCGTTCTTTACCAGATTTCCCCCTTGTAATACATATTGTGACCCCACCCTACCCCCATGATCATAATTTAAACAATTTGAATTTTACACTATCCCAGTATGCTTCCACATAAGTTTCAGTTTTTCTGGCCCAGTGGTTCTTGAGAAGAAGATTTTCAAAGATTTTTTCTATATGTTTCTTTGTAAAACATTGATGCCTTATTGTGGCCCCGCCCAACCCCCGGGGGTCATGATTTGAACAATTTAGAATCTACACTACCCCAGGATGCTTCCACATAAGTTTCAGCTTTTCTGACCCAGTGGTTCTTGAAAAGAAGATTTTCAAAGATTTTTCCTATATATTTCTATGTAAAACTTTGATTCCCCATTGTGGCCCCGCCCAACCCCCGGGGGTGATGATTTGTACAATTTAGAATCTACACTACCCCAGCATGCTTCCACATAAGTTTCAGCTTTTCTGGCCCAGTGGTTCTTGAGAAGAAGATTTTCAAAGATTTTTCCTATATATTTCTATGTAAAACTTTGATTCCCCATTGTGGCCCCGCCCTACCCCTGGGGGTCATGATTTGAACAATTTAGAATCTACACTACCCCAGCATGCTTCCACATAAGTTTCAGCTTTACTGGCCCAGTGGTTCTTGAGAAGAAGATTTTTTAATGACCCAACCCTATTTTTGTCTTTTCTTGATTATCTCCCCTTGCGAGGGGATATGTCCCTTAATTTTAACAATTTAAAATCCCCTTTACCCAAGGATGCTTTGTACCAAGTTTGGTCAAAATTGGCCAAGTGGTTCTTGAGAAGAAGTCGAAAATGTGAAAAGTTTACAGACGGACGGACAGACAGACAGACAGACAGACGGACAGACGGACGGACGACGGACAAAATGTGATCAGAAAAGCTCACTTGAGCCTTCGGCTCAGGTGAGCTAAAAAAATGATTTTTTTAGACTGAATGTCAGACAGGTTTTGATATGTGATTCCTATGGAAAAATGGACATGCTGATTCCATCCCATCCCCATAAAATTAGTTTTTAAATTAATAATATTATATAACATCTGATTCAGATTAGTTTATTATGCAATGTACAAATAATTTTAATTACTTTTCATCAAATTCATTTTAAAACTTGGCTAACCAACAAGAGCTATTTTTAATCCCACAGGCTTACCCATTTGCCCAATTCCCAAGGGATATAGATAACACCTGCTTGATAAGAGATGTTCTACCAATTAGCTCCTCACACTAAACTCATGAATTTTTCTCTAATTTGACATGCAATTTTCTGTTATCAAAATTTTTCTTGACCAGTGCTTGATAATTACACTCATGGGAGAAGTGGGATTTCTCTAACATACATTACATTTGTTATAGATTGCTGTCAATTTTAGGCTGAAAAAATAAGTATTTTCTTGATTTAACACTTTTTTAATAAGATAGTGCGATACTCTTATATTTTTGGGTATGTATAAATGAATAGTAAAAAGACACATTTTTTTAAATTTCACTAAAATTAAAGGTCACAGTGACCTTGAAATAGGTCGCGACATACCTTCTACCTCAGATGCATAAACTGGCCAAGTTTGATGATTCTAAGTCTAATAGTTTTCTAGTTATGGGCCGGAAAGGATTTTTTCATATTAGGCTATACCTTTTTAATTAAAGGTCAAAGATATCAGTCAGACATGAGAAAAGCTCAAAGACTGACAGAAAGACAGACACAAAGCCTATAACATAATACATCCCGGGTGTATAAACAAGAGGCCCATGGGCCACATCGCTCACCTGAGCACTAAGGGTAGGAAAACGTAGGAAATGGCTTTTTATTGTAAAGTTTAAATCCAAAAGTAGTCCCATGACCAATCATGGATTTGCTATTTTTTAGAAAATGTTTGTTTAAAGAATTTTCCTATATATCTTTAAAAACTTTGGTCAGCCATTTTGGCCCCGCCCTACCCATGAGGTCATATGATTTGAACAACTTTGATTCATGAATCATTTGAATTATGGTGTAGTCATTCTTGAAAAGAAGATTTTAAAAGAATTTTCCTATATATTTCTATGTAAAACTTTGGTCGGCCATAATGGCCCCACCCTACCCCCAGGGGTCATGATTTGAACAAACTTGAATCTACACTACCTGAGAGTGCTTCCATATAAATATGATGAATTATGGCTTTGCTATTCTTGAGAAGAAGATTTTTAAAGAATTTTCCTATATATTTCTATGTAAAATTTTGGTCGCCCATTTTGGCCCCGCCCTACCCCCAGGGGTCATGATTTAAACAAACTTGAATCTACACTACCTGAACATGCTTCCATATAAATAAGATGAATTATGGCTTTGTCATTCTTGAGAAGAAGATTTTTAAAGAATTTTCCTATATATTTCTATTTAAAACTTTGGTCGGTTAATTTGGCCCCGCCATACCCCCGGGGGTCATGGTTTGAACAAACTTGAACCTACACTACCTGAGCATGCTTCCATATAAATATGATGAATTATGGCTTTGTCATTCTTGAGAAGAAGATTTTTAAAGAATTTTCCTATATATTTCTATGTAAAACTTTGGTCGCCAATTTTGGCCCCGCCCTACCCACCCAGGGTCATGATTTGAACAAACTTGAATCTACACTACCTGAGCATGCTTCCATATAAATATGATGAATTATGGCTTTGTCATTCCTGAGAAGAAGATTTTTAAAGAATTTTCCTATATATTTCTATGTAAAACTTTGGTCGCCCATTTTGGCCCCGCCCTACCCCCGAGGGTCATGATTTGAACAAATTTGAATCTACACTACCTGAGCATGCTTCCATATAAATAAGATGAATTATGGCTTTGTCATTCTTGAGAAGAAGATTTTTAAAGAATTTTCCTATATATTTCTATGTAAAACTTTGGTCGGCCATTTTGGCCCCGTCCTACCCCCGGGGGTCATGATTTGAACAAACTTGAATCTACACTACCTGAGGATGTTTCCCAATAAGTTTCATCTTTCCTGGCACTGTGGTTCTTGAGAAGAAGATTTTTAAAATATGCCACCAAATTTTCATTAATTCCCAATTATCTCCCCTTGAATAAGGGCGTGGCCCTTCATTTGAACAAACTTGAATCCCCTTCACCCAAGGATACTTTGTGGCAAGTTTGGTTGAAATTGGCTCAGCGGTTCTTGAGAAGAAGTTGAAAATGTGAAAAGTTTACAGACAGACGGACAGACAGACAGACGGACGCCGGACAAAATGTGATCAGAAAAGCTCACTTGAGCTTTCAGCTCAGGTGAGCTAAAAAGCATATTGCTAACAGCAGAGAATATCCAACAATAATTTTAATAAAGTTAACTTACCTTACATTGTAAACTCCAAAGATACTAAATAGTTCAGGCTCTCCTAAAAAATAAATATTATACATCAAAATAATCAAATTTTATCCCCATTAAGTTTTAATACCTTCTACTTTTTTATGCCCCTTTAATGAAAGTTTTAGGGGTATACAGCAAAACTGGGTTATAACGAAGTCACTGGGTCCTTTGAATTTACTTCGCTATATCCACGGTTCGTTATAACTGCATTAGAAATTCATTAAATTTATACACCGTATATACTCGCCTATAAGTCGGTCCGCCTAGAAGTCGGTTGTATTTATTAAGCTTATATTTCAGATGGACTGACTTCATATAATACCATTCTTTTTATAACTCGCCTATAAGTCGGACACAGAGTTTTGGACCAGAGATTGGCTCCCAAAAAACCGACTTATAGGCGAGTATATACGATAGCTGGGGAACAAAGATGACTTTAATACATCCTTAAATTAAGTTTTGCTGTATATAGTTTTTGCCCGGTCCATCTGTCTGTCTGTCTGTCTGCAAAAACTTTCACGAACAAAATAATAAAAAAGATTTCCATCCAAGTTTTAAAAATTTGTAAGTATAATACAGTAAAACTCGTTTAGTACGAACACGGATATAGTGAATTCACGGATATAGCGAAGTTTTTCTGGGTCCCCGGCAAAATTCTTAACAAATCTTTGTAAAATTTTACGGTTATAACGAACTCTGATATAACGAATTTAAGTATATAGAGAACTGATTTTGAGTCCCGTTGAGGTTAAATATAATGAAATTTACTTTTTTTATAGCGAATTTTCAAAGATCTCAAAAAATTGATAAACTTAACTGACTTTATTCCATTAAGATTTTGTATATAAAGTTCAATTCATAATAAAACCTTAGTTATTAAAGGTATGTTTTATAATATTTGCTTCCCTAACATATTTCTTAGTATTACTTGAAGGAAAACATGCATATTGCGAATTCGCTGTATGTAGTAATACAAATTCGTTATACGGATATAACGAATTACGGATATAGCAAATTGAATTCACAGGTCCCGAGGACTTCGCTATAACCGTGTTTTACTGTATAATTAAAAAAAAAAATTAAGCACTTATACAGGACTATCTAAACACTGGATGATTTATATTTGCAATGAATTTTGAAAATATTGAAAAAATAATCATAGAGAATCAAATCAATACAAGAGGCCCATGGGCCACATCGCTCAACTGAGCACTAAGGGCACTAAGGGTAAGCACTAAGGGTAGGAAAAAGTAGAAAATAGCTTTTTATTGTAAAGTTTAAATCCAAAAGTAGTCCCATGACCAATCATAGATTTGCTATTTTTTAGAAAATGATTTTTAACGAATTTTCCTACATATACCTTTAAAAAATTTTGTCGGCCATTTTAGCCCCGCCCTACCCCATGATTTGAACAAAATTGAATCTACACTACCTGAGCATGCTTCCATATAAATATGATGAAATATGGCTTTGTCATTCTTGAGAAGAAGATTTTTAAAGAATTTTCCTATATATTTCTATGTAAAACTTTGGTCGGCCATTTTGGCCCCGCCCTACCCCGGGGGGTCATGATTTGAGCAAACTTGAATCTACACTACCTGAGCATGCTTCCCCATAAGTTTCATCTTTCCTGGCATAGTGGTTCTTGAGAAGAAGATTTTTAAAATATGCCACCAAATTTTCATTAATTCCCAATTATCTCCCCTTAAATGAGGGCGTGGCCCTTCATTTGAACAAACTTGAATCCCCTTCACCCAAGGATACTTTGTGGCAAGTTTGGTTGAAATTGGCCCAGCGGTTCTTGAGAAGAAGTCGAAAATGTGAAAAGTTTACAGACAGACAGACAGACGGACAGACAGACGGACGCCGGACAAAATGGGATCAGAAAAGCTCACTTGAGCCTTCGGCTCAGGTGAGCTAATAAAATATACTACAGTAGTAGTGGTCCTTAAGGTTATATGTATGTTAATTTAATTTATATTTCACTTACCCCATTGTAAATCATTCAAAGTTTTGTTGTGGAAAATCTTTTCTATTTGGATACTGAGACTTTCAGTGCAGTTATTTATGTCGAAATAAACTTCAAAATTTCTTCTCAGTTGCGAGGAATAGAGACAACACCGGATGCCAGAGCATGTGGCAAGCATGTGACAACTATAGTCGGTATTCAAATATGGTAGACTCATATTCATTCCACAATCTGAAAACATAGGTGCATATGTGTTAATACCGTATAAGTGGAAATTTTAGCGAGACGCAAATTTAGCGATTTCTACATAAAATCTGGTATTTTATTTTTAGCGATAAGTAAATTTAGCGATTTTAAAATGCTAAGTAAAGAAGCTATTGTAAATAAAACGCAATTAATTTTTAGCGATATTCAATTTTAGCTATGTCAGCACCCTCGCTAAAAATGCCAAAATTAAATCCTCGCTAAAAATTCTACTTATACGGTATAATGACAAATACTATTAATTGTGATACTGTCATACATGTACTGAAATATCATTTAATCATGTGTGTGGCATGGATCTCTGTTATGGGGCACATTCATTGGGAAATACTGAATGTAGATTTAAAATATTTAATCTCAGTACTGATACTCACCACTTGTCCATCCATTAACAGTGTTAAGATAGACACCATCAGACCTATTGCACATTGGTTGTTTGATGAATCCTGCTAGTCCTGTTTCATCCATAAGTTGTAGTAAATATTCATCAGGAATGATATTGCCAAGTTTTCTATCAGATCTCCATTTGTACAAAGAAAAATCTGAAATCAGAATGGTTAAAAAAGTGTTAGTCAAAATTTTAAATCACATGCATGTACATTTATATTGCAGGGCATAAAATTGACAACATTTTTGAGCAGTCAATTAAGAAACATGTTTTCCATGTACCATACTTATATTCTTACATTTTGCACTTACCTTTCATATTGAAATCCATTGACCAACTACATATCCCCTTTGGTATCAATGAATTCTTGAAGACAACCAAATCTAAGTGGCAATTTTGTGACGACTCGTAACACTGACTGATGTTCATACTCATCAAATATTTGCGTTCATTGTAAAAATTCTCCATCAAAATACTGTATCAAAATATGGAGAATTCCATTAAATCAAAAAAGATTGAAACATATCAGAAAATGCATAGATACATAAGTACAAAACAGGGCTTATGTGTATAATTACCTTATCTTGTAAATTCCATACAAATCTACTGTCATGAGTTCACCTGAAAATTGCAATTTTTAAAAAAAAATTATCCACTGATGTCATCAATAAGTATCAAGCTTAATGTTGCATATATGCACTGTGTATTTATATACACACCCCAAGTAAAGTTCATCAGGCTGATGTTGAACTGCAGTTTTTCTATCTCTAGTTTCATGGTGAATTTACATGGATCGATGCTGACCCTGGTCTCTATGTTCCTCTTTAGTACAGAGTCCTCCACACAGCATGACACAGTGGTACAGGTGTCAGACAGGTAACAGTTGATGTCGTCAGATTCTGTGAACTGACTCATTCCTGACACTTTACCACATTCTGAAGAATGGAGTCATTTTGCACATATAACCAAAGTGCACAATTTTCTACTAGATAAAGTTGCTTTGTATTTACCGGTACTATTCAGATATTGATGAAGGTGAATCAACTGTTTTGAACATTTCATCATATGCAATTGTAATAACTAAAATCATTTAACAAGAGGCCCATGGTTGCCTATTGTCAACCAACTCTACCCCTAGGGGACATGACTTAAATTTACAATCTAAACTTTCTCACAAAAGTTTAGGCCAGAGGTTCTTGAGAACAAAGTTGATTGAACTTTAATAAACCAACAACAGATTTTTTTCATCAATATTCCAATGTAATAAAAAATTATTCCATTTGTCCCCGACCTACACCTGGGGGCCATTATTGAACAATTTAGAATTTTAACTACATCAGGAAGCTTTCAAGTAAGGCAAAAAAAATTTAATTTCTTGGTTCTCAGGCCCTCCCTCATCTCTTCCAAGGGTGCCTCATTGACCCTTTTTATTGCTAAGTCAATAAAATATAAATACCAAATCACCTCCCTCATCATTTTTTGAGGTTTTGTACAATGTAAAAAGCTGCCTCATCATGTTTTGGGGTAATAAAAAAGAAAAAAAATGCCTCCCTCCCTCATCATATTTCTTGAAAAAAGGCCTGAGAACCAAGTAATTAACTCTGCATGGCCTTAAGTTTCATTTTTTCTGGCCCAGTGTTTTTTGAGAAGATTTTTAAAGATGTTTCTTGTAATAGATGACAGACAAATTTTGATCACAATATATTTCAATGTAAAACTGAAATGTCATATGTCTTTGCCTTTGGCTCAGAAGAGCTAATAAAATTAATCTTTTGTATTTTGAATGTATATCATTCATAATGTAGCTTTATTTTAAATTTTTGATGAGGCTTTAAAATTAATATTGCAGATTATTTTATCAAAGAGGGAAATAAAAACTTCAAGACCGAGCTTAAAAAAGATCCCCCAACAATAATGCTTGATCATTCAATTTCACTATACTAAAATCATAAAGATAACTTACTATCTTTCCAGTAATTTTTATGTGGAAAATATATTGTGGATTTTTTAAAGCAAGACTCTCCTAAGTATTCTGATATTCCCAAATCTTCCTTGAGTAATGCAATGTCTAAATCTGTTAGATTCTGATTTAATCTTCCATGCTGAATCATCCACTGTGATAAGGAAAAGTCTGCAAAGTAAAATTATAATACTGTACATTATTTTCAGCAGATAATTTTCGATATGTTGACAAAAATATAATAATATTTGAAAAAAATATATTATTGAACTAATATAGATTATCAAAATTAAATGATATTAACAGACAGAAAGGTGAAAACAAAGTGCATCAAATAGGAACAGGAATCTAGCTGATGGGGTTAAAGGTCAATTATAAATAAGCAAACAGATTGTATAAAAGATATTAAGAAGTTAAGAGGTTTAAAACTGCACTGTGTAGTGTAATTTTAATGCATGTCCAACTAACTCTAACCAAAGGCCTACATGCTGGATTCAGGGTTCTTTTATTTTCATATAATTTATCTTTTTGTATAATCAGTTTGCCCATTGTGTGTCCTTCAGAAAACGGACATTTTTAGAGATATAATGTATTTTTAAAATATGATCAATTTATCCCACTCAAAATGCTTGAAATGGAAGCTATGAATTTTTTTGATTTAGGTTTTGTATTCATTGTAATTGTACTAAACTTCCTACATGACCTGGAATGAGGAAAGTTATTTCCAAACATAAATTTGTTTTGGAGGTTTAATTCCTATCCCTATAATGCCCCAGGGAGGCAAACAGGCAACACATTTTTGTACTCCCTTGCTCAAGAAATTTATGCAAATGAAATCAATTTAAAAATTGGTTCAATTATGCTAAAAATAAATAAAAATTATAAAACTTTCAAACTTTTTAACAATGGATCAAACAAAACAAAACAAAAACAAACTGAAAAAAGAAGAAAACAAGGCAACAAGTCACTTGTCAATGAGTGAATTTTGAGACTTTGAAACTAATCATGCAAACTTTTTCCGAGACTTACTCTTCTGAATATATCCAGTATTTAGACTGCAGGGTTTCTTTGGCAATAAAGCATTATCAAACAGCATGGAATCCAGTACACAGGGTCCAGAAGACTCCAGACAGAGACTGATGTTGAGGCTCACTTGGTATTTCCTGTCAGCTTTAAGGTCATACACTTTGTACCTTTGTTTGAATACAGTAAGAAATAAGATAAACTCTCATAATCTTCTAACTATTGTAACTTACATTCTTTTCAAAACAGGCTAAAGATTCATTAACCACAATGCTCACTTTTATCACTATGGACCTTTCGCTTATCATCTGCAGATACTGTAAACCAACTTTTATTTGCATGCGAGAAATTTTTGTGAAGTTTGCGAGAGTCTTGTCATCGCAAATATTTCTCGCCGCAAAACCAGTCCTTGAAGTGTATGTGTTTACTAACAACAGATCCAAAAAGGCTTGATCGTGAAAATAAATTGTCGCAAACTACTTTATCCCTCATAAATCGCGGAATAAAGTTGTAGGAATAAAAGTTGATTTTTTTCAATTGCCCCCTTTGATTTCAAAACAAGAGGCCCTAGGGCCTTGGCTCACTTTTCTGAAAAATTGTACAAGCTATCACTTCTATTGAACCCTCTAAGTATCTTATATGTTTAAAGCCTTGAAATTCCAAAAATAGGCCATCATGACCTAGTCATTTGGGTAAAAACATTTGGAGAGCCAAAATCTGATAAAGTTTGTCGATTCAAAGGCCCCATTATCTCAAATATATCCATAAGTGGTTATGGTCACCTACTTTTCATTTGGCATACTGTATACAGGGTTATTTTTGCCCCGTGTTATTTTCGCCTTTTCACATCTGAAAACAAGTTTGCCCTGTTTTAAATTTGCCAAAAAGGATTTTTTTAAAAGATATTATAGAGTTTAATTTGAATTTGCCCACATCAGACTAGGGCGAAAGAGGCCAAAATTAAACAGGGGCGAAAATTTCCCTGTGTACAGAACCCGCAGACTTAAGATACATAAACTGACAACGTTTCAGCTGACACATTCATTCATTTAGGATCAATCTTGCAAAGCACTTTCATTACTTCTGTGTGTATAATATTATATAAATTGGCATGAACATTTGCCCCGAGACACTTAAACATTATTAATAAAATATATTTGATCATATCTGTAATAAAAATGAACAAATGCTTACTTCATTTGGACTACATTCCTCAGATCATAGTGATGTTCAACACCTTTTTATCAAGAAAAAAAATAGAAAGCTATGTACCGTATGATAATATCAATCTAAAGAAGCCATTTACAGAAGTTTTCAATATTAAAAATATATTTTATTGATAACATTTATGTGATTAGATTGGTAATAACAATCATAGACCTAATGAATGAAATCAATGAAATTATGAAAATTTTACAAAAAATCTAGCAAACGAAAAAAAATCAAATGCGATAATACATCTCTCTCACCAAACTGGAAGTCATAAAGTGAGATCTCATGAACAAAGTTTTCAATGCCCAGTGAAATCCTTTGATTACAAGGGTCCAAATCTAAGACAGTGCTGAGGGACCTCTGTAGTGGTGTGTGTGTGGTTATACAGCAGTGGACAGCTGTACATGTAGAGGGTAGGTGACACAGTAGTCCAGCTGGTAGGGGGCTAGTCAACACACTGAGTGGACAATCTGTACAGAGTTAGGAACGAGGCATTAATAAATGAATTTAACATTCTTCATAGTATGGACCCTCAACCTCTGCCATCTAAACACTTAACTGAAACAGGCATTGCAATTTTATAGTAAACCAGAAGTCTCTGTCGAGACTGTAGCTCTACTGGTTTATACTTAAAGCAAAGGAAGAGAAAAGTAGCAGTTGGGAAACTTTAAAACAGCAATAATTAGAAAAATGATCGTTGCCACTCATCAAAATAAAAACTGATGCACAGAATTATGTATCTTAGTATAGTCTACTTGTGTGCCAAGTTACTAGTATTTTTAGTAACCATGGCAACATTGTTCAATGAAATCAAAAAACGATGCACCGAATTATGTATCTTAGTGTAGTCTACTTGGGTGCCAAGTTATATTGAAATCAGACCAAAACTGTAGGAGGAGTAGCATTTTGAAAGAATTTCACAGAAATTTCTATTTTTAGTAACCATGGCAACATCGTTCCATGAAATCAAAAACCAATGCACAGAATTATGTATCTTAGTATAGTCTACTTGTGTGCCAAGTAATGTTGAAATTGGACCAAAACTGTAGGAGGAGTAGCATTTTGAATGCATTTCACAGAAATTTCTATTTTTAGTAACCATGGCAACATCGTTCATCGAAATCAAAAACCGATGTACAGAATTATGTATCTTAGTGTAGTCTAATTGTGTCCCAAGTTATATTGAAATCGGACCAAAACTTTAGGAGGAGTAGCATTTTGAATGCATTTCACAGAAATTTCTATTTTTAGTAACCATGGCAACACCGTTCATCGAAATCAAAAACCGATGCACAGAATTATGTATCTTACTTTAGTCTACTTGTGTGCCAAGTTATATTGAAATCGAACCAAAACTGTAGGAGGAGTAGCATTTTGAATGCATTTCAAGGAAATTTCTATTTTTAGTAACCATGGCAACATCGTTCATCGAAATCAAAAACCGATGCACAGAATTATGTATCTTAGTGTAGTCTACTTGTGTGCCAAGTTATATTGAAATCAGATCAATACTGTAGGAGAAGAGTAGCATTTTGAATGCATTTCACAGAAATTTCTATTTTTAGTAACCATGGCAACACCGTTCATCGAAATCAAAAACCGATGCACAGAATTATGTTTCTTAGTGTAGTCTACTTGTGTGCCAAGTAATATGAAATCAGACCAAAACTGTAGGAGGAGTAGCATTTTGAAAAATTGTTTACAGACAGCTAGACAGACAGACGGACGGACGACGGACGCATTACTATCGCATAAGCTCTTCTGGTCTCTGACAAGTATAGCTAAAAAACTAGTTAACCTTTAGTCCATCTATCTGTGTGACTTCTGTAAATGTCATCTGTTTCTTGACACTGTTTGTCTTTCATGTACTGAGCCAGACCCAGATCCTCCAGTAGTTCTAACTGACCATACAATGGTAATGTGGAATTTGGTCTGAAGGCATGCTCTGCCAACCAACTAGACATTGAGAAACCTAAAAAAAAAATACAAGAATCTAAATCAATTTAGATAAAAGTACCATGGTATTCAACAACTATATCTACTGTAGAGAAAATGAAGACTTATACAAATATAAACACAAAACTTAATAGATTATTTTCCATTCCCAAACTTCAAAAGTTTTATTGTAGTATGAACAATTATTATCTCAGTACCATGTCTACACTACTGCAATGAGTCACATATTCTGTTAGTGAACTTGGCTTGAGGTTATAAAGCATTTTTAGCCAATCAATAGTCATTAGCAATCATTGTACATGAAGTATTTTAATGGTTTTAAATAATTTTCTGCAAAGAAGATACTCTTACATTTTCTGCTATAAATAGTGACTTTAAAAATTTCGTTAACGCATTGTAAGTCGGTTGTCAGTCCCCATAATCCAATATGTGTTTCGTATATAATAAACTTTGTAACTGTAACATTGTTTGAGTTTTATATAAACAGAGGTAATCAGAGATTACAGAGCTCGCCTCAACAAATGCTGTCTTTAAGCAAGACAAAGTCCCACACTAAACTTATAATCTAGAAGTGTGCATCCCAAGATGCAACATTTATCCAAATGAATGTTGGTTTGATAGAGCTTATTGTTACTTTGGATAGACTTATCAAAAATTTCAAACTAGTCAGTCATTCAAGAAATATAATTCAAATCCAGCATCAGAAGCAAGATTGACAGTGTCCATCCCTTGATGCATCATCAATGCACGTTTGGTTTAGATAAGCTTTATAGTCTCTTGATGATATACCTACATCCAAACCTTTAACCTGGTCCAATATCTAGAAAATGTCGTATCTGAAGCAAGTCCAAGGTTAGTGAACTTCCTTAGATGTCTCATCTATAAAAATTTGTGGAGAATGCTGAAATATATGCTTTGACTGCTGCCCAATCCATTCAAAATCATTATATAATAAAATATGTTGAAATCTATGAAAGTTTAATCAACATAGGCCCTATAGTTACTTTACAATGAAGCTGCTCTTAAAACTTTAACCTGGTCACTCACCCAGAAAATGAAGATCAGATCCAGCATCCAAAGTAATTAAGTCTGGTACTTTGAATCCTTACATAATTATGTATTATCCATGCAAGTTTGGTCAACATAGGGATTATAGTTACTTTAGAATGAACCTGCTTTTACCTGTTCATTTGTCCATAGAATGTCACATCCAGCATCTGAAGCAAGTCCTGTGATATGCATCCTTAAATGCATTATCCATGCAAGCTTGGTCAACATAGGGATTATACTTACTGGGAAATAAGACCTGCTCCAGAAACTTTAACCTTCACAAAAATCTTAAATTTGTTAAAAACCAGAAGTCTCTGTCGAGACTGAAGCTCTACTGGTTTGTACTTATAGCAAAGGAAGAGGAAAGTACTTAAGCAGTTGGGAATTGAAACTTTACACTAGCAAAAAAGAGAATAATGATCCTTGAATAAGTTTCTTTATGTTCATAGTGTAGTCTACTTGCATGCCACATTATATTATAATCAGACTAAAACTGTATTTGAAGTAGCATTTTGACAGTAACAGAAATTGCTATCTTTATTAACCAAGGTAATAATGTTCATTGAAGTCAAAAACGGATATAAAGAATTATGTACCTTAGTGTAGTCTACTTGTGTGCCAAGTTATATTGAAATCAGACCAAAACTGTAGGAGGAGTAGCATTTTGAAAGAATTTCACAGAAATTTGTATTTTAAGTAACAACGCCTACACCATTCGTCAAAATCAAAAACCGATACACAGAATTATGTATCTTAGTGTAGTCTACTTGTATGCCAAGTTATATTGAAATCAGACCAAAACTGTAGGAGGAGTAGCATTTTGAAAGAATTTCACAGAAATTTCTATTTTTAGTAACAACGCCAACACCGTTTCTCGAAATCAAAAACCGATATACAGAATTATGTATCTTAGTGTAGTCTACTTGTGTGTCAAGTTATATTGAAATCAGACCAAAACTGTAGGAGGAGTAGCATTTTGAAAGAATTTCATAGAAATTTCTATTTTTAGTAACAACGCCAACACCGTTCGTCGAAATCAAAAACCGATACATAGAATTATGTATCTTAGTGTAGTCTACTTGTGTGCCAAGTTATATTGAAATCAGACCAAAACTGTAGGAGGAGTAGCATTTTATAGAATTTCACAGAAATTTGTATTTTTAGTAACAACGCCAACACCGTTCGTCAAAATCAAAAACCGATACACAGAATTGTGTATCTTAGTGTAGTCTACTTGTGTGCCAAGTTATATTGAAATCAGACCAAAACTGTAGGAGGAGTAGCATTTTGAAAGAATTTCACAGAAATTTCTATTTTTAGTAACAACGCCAACACCGTTCGTCGAAATCAAAATCCGATACACAGAATTATGTATCTTAGTGTAGTCTACTTGTATGCCAAGTTATATTGAAATCAGATCAAAACTGTAGGAGGAGTAGCATTTTGAAAAATTGTTTACAGACAGACAGACAGACAGACGGACAGACGGACGGACGCCGGACGCATTACTATCGCATAAGCTCTTCTGGTCTCTGACCAGTAGAGCTAAAAACATTAATTAACTTGATAATTCTTATAGTTGAAAATGAAGCATCTGAAACCTTGACTTATGCAATGAAATACCTTAAAAGCTATTTCCATGCATCTCTGATTAATGTAGGGCAGACATACTGTAGATGGACATCTTAAGACTCTCTTTTCTATGCCTTATATTTTTATGAAGTTCAATGGGACAAATTTCCATGGAAAATTTTAACTGCACACATAGCATAAATTAATACCACGCGAAAAAAGTACTTTTACAGTATTTTGGAGAGATGGGAAATTAAAAACTTAGCTTGTTTTATCCAAAGATTCAAGATACTGTAAATCACTTTTTATTTGTAAGAACTTTATTCTTGCATAATAATACGAGACAATGAGCTTGCGAAAATTTCATTCTGGCATATAATTATAATTATAGTATTCCTTACATTTATATAGAGGAATAATGATACGTGAAAATCATTTCTCACTCATATAGAGTCAATGACTATCAATGAAAATAAGGTGTCACGAAATTTTCATGATCTTCAGTTATGGTCTTTTTTCTTAACTGCTTGGCAATTTAAGGCATGGTTACTTACTTGGAATAAAAAAATCTTTGGCCATAAAGTTGCACACAGGCTTTGGAAACATCACATTTCTGACAATGATTTCTGTCAAGGTGCAGTTGTCTGGTTCATAACACACACTTAGGTTAACACTCATCATGTAGTGAGAGTCAAGGATCAAGTCATAGATGACATAGCTGTTGAATAAATGTAAAAAAAAATGTTAGCACTAAATTTACAACATCCAACATTTACTGTTGAAGACTTACATTCCCTTTTGCATTATTGGTCACTATACAGTAGATTTATTTTAATGAGTTAATACAAATAAAAAATTACATTTTCAAAATCCAGTAGATTCTTTGATTAATCTGCAACACAACTGATTGTCTAATTCAAAAATTTTAACATTTAATCAAATGACAAAGAGAATTATTATATATCTTGATATATATCTAAATATATTGTAAAGAAAGTATGTGGAAATTTAAAATCAAATGGAACTGCAATGTTAATGTCTTTGGGCTACTGCTGCATTTGTGACTTTACAATTATTATAGCTTTTCCTCTCTCTATTCATAATGTCATGTACAATATCCATGTGCTAAGTGGAAGTTACTAATGTTATAAGAATCTTTTATAATTACATAAGCATACATGTGATATGTACCGGCGGTACAGGAAATGTCCCGTATTTTTGACCCCCATCACGGTGTCCTGGCGGTACCACAAAATTCACGGGAAATGAAAATGTGTACCTTATTTTGAAATGTTTACCGGAAACCGCCATTTTTCTTTCATTCCCGCTCTCACAACACCGGAAATCTCGAAGTATGCGTGACTTACTGCCCATAATTATGTAAACAAAACAGCATGAACGAAGGTGTGAAATATTCCCGTGATAATTACATCGTAATTAGGAGATATCAAAGCTTTTGTTTAGCTGATTGCTTTTTAATAGGACAGGTTTATCAAGGATTCTTTTAAACTGTAATTTATTTAAAGTAAAGACATTTCAAAGAAAACACCATTCACAAGAATCGGAGACACTTTGTGACAGCAAAACGAAAATTCGTCCATTATTTGATCAGGCATACGTATTGTCTATTTAAACACAGATTAAGAGAAATGATTTTTAGTACAATTTTAATAATGAAGCTGAATGGAAACGACCAGATTCATACAATAAAGTGTTTTTAAACACTGTACTTTTTTACTAAGTTCAGCATTTAGCATAGTTTTATGCCGAAATTCAAAATTCTTCAAAAGTTTCTTGAAATGAAAAATAATTAAATCATAATACATGTTATGCAGTGGTGCACCTGAACATTGATTTGAAATTTATTATTTAAAGATAAACATCTTACATTGTTTTTTTGGTCGATATTTTGTACCGTTTTTTGGACCGTTTTTTGGTTAGCAATGTACAATATTTTCACCCAAATTCCAATATTTTGAAGGCTGCGGTACAGTATCTGGGTCTAGAAATGATCACATGTATGCATAAGTAGCTCATATTCCATTTGTATGAATCAGAAAACAAAATGTGTCAACTTGGTACAAGTCAAATATAAAATATGCAACAAAAAATAATTGACTGAATAACATTTGGAGAAATGCAAGGTCTTTGCATGTAAAGCAAAGGCAAAGTACTAGCCAAACTAGTACTAGATAGCTTGGTTTAAAAAAAAGTATACCCTACAAAGCAGTTTTACAAAAAAAAAACAAACAAACAAACAAACAAAACAAACTAGGTGTCCTCTGGTCAGTGAAATATTGACATGCAATGTTGTTCCATAAGAAAACTTTAATAATAGACCTGTTAGTGTTATGAATTTAACACTTTTATACCATTGGACTTTGAACTTCCTGGAATGACCTTAGATCACATCATCAGACCATAATGAATTCTGTTACAGTACCAAGTATGAACTTTCAGCCATTCTTCATGACAAATTTTAGCCTGAACAAAAATTTTATACTTCTTCTGGCAGTGAACTTGAGCTTGCCAGAATGACCTAGTGTCAAGCTTCCTATAATGAATGTGGGTGAAGTGCAAATAAGATTGAAACAAAGAAAGTGAACATGTTTTGAACAAATAAACTTCAAAGAACAAATGAAAATGATATAACAACCATAAAAGTTAATTGTATTTTTATACCTTATTCTATATATTCCCTTGAGATGAAATTGGTTTTTTTGTCCTGTTAAAAAATAAATGGTTATTATTAAGCATAATATTTTTTACTATTCATAAACTGTATTTAAATTAACTCGAATAAAGCTGATTTTCATTAAATCTTTTAAAAGCAGGCCATTATTACATAACATTTGTTAACATCAGGATAAAGACTTGCCAAATTCAAACTCAAGAAGAGATATTTTCTTCCGAAATTCCTCAATTCCAAGAGTCAATTCAAGATTACAGGAGTCAACATCAATAAACCAAGTAAATGTGGTCTCCATCTCTGGATCCTCAGTACAGCATGTCATAGATGTACACCTGGGCCCCACCACACAGTATGTCTTCTTCTTCATGTTGTATGGAAGGCCAGAGATTCGACAGGCTGAAAATTTATCAGGAGTATTTCATAAAATTCTGGTGCACACACAAAAATGTGCATACTGAAACCTAACTATCTTGTCAATAATAATGAACTACTGTCAGGTTCATTGCATACCCTTCTTTCATACCAACCATCTTGCAACAAAACTCAATCTTTGCTTTATAAACCTAAAACCTGTATAAAATTTTCAACTTTTTAATCCAGTAATTTGACCTTGTACATGTAATACAGGGATATGGGTGCAACATATTTTCTATCTGCATAATTTGTTGTCAATTAGAAGGTTCTACAACCTTTGCTACAAAATGGTAAGTAACTTCAAAAGACAAGAATATATTACACTTTCTGTGACCTTAACTTTGTTTTCAAAGATCTTGTTCCAAGTCCCACAATCAGAAAAATATCTTCAAACATGTAGCAAAAAAAACTTAATTCTTTCATTGGAGTATTCTTCTCTAAATGGTATAATCTACATTATCAATTCACCACATTTGTGTCCAATATTGTCAATAAAATGCTCTGGAGATAGTTTTGGCAAAAATACAATTTATGTCAGTGACTTGTGTGCAAAAATAACCATGAATCAGTTTAATATCTTGGATTCATATTATAAACAATCAGAGTGGAAAATAGGACTCTTAGTTATAAGAGTATAATACTGGCATAACCTGTAAATACACTGGTTCACCAAATTACCCCAAAAAAATAAGAGTGGGAGGGGGGCTTTTCCTTCATGACAGTTAAATTATTTGTATGACAGTAAAATAAATTACAAAAGTTCATCATAACTGCATCATATGTGGCTGTAAAATTTTTTACGGGATACAAAATTTATCTTTTCCTGTGTTGGCCATACTTAATTTGTTTTTTTTTTATATACTGTAAAAGCACAAATATTCGTGGGGGATTAAATTTCGTTTATTTCGTTGTTAACAATATTCAACGAAATTAAATCCCACACGAAATTTTATATGACTATATACTGAATAGGGTTACTTTCAAAACAACGAAATTAAATGCCCACGAAACTATTTTTGATGACAAAACAACAAAATTTTATGCCCATGAAAATTTGTGCTTCTACAGTATATAGAAAATGATAGAAACCTTTATCTTGAGTCCAGCCATTGTAGGTGGGCCAGTATGGTGCTGCAGTCCTGCTACATCTAGATCTCATTCTGTAGCTGGCTACACCTGTCTGATCTTCAAATTTTGCCACAATATGAGGCAATTTAATATTTGCTGAATACCCACTGTTATTTTTCCAAGTAGAAAGTGATTCCGCTGAAATTTATGAAAAGTGAATGCAATTAACAGTTGTGACACTTACAAGATATATAATATAATTGATTTTATTAACATAAATTTTCAGTTTTAGATACTGGTAATTGAATAATCTGAAAGTGATTTCATGTTTTTTTAAAATTCCATTCTTTATTATTAATAATCCTACCTGGCTTGGGTTGAAGATCATACCAATGACATGATGCTTTTGGAAGAAGCATGTTTTGAAATATTGTTTGGTTGCTTACTTCACAGATACTGGGACTTTCAACACAGAGACTAATATTCAAACTGATAAGGAGTTTGTTGGCATGGTCCAAATTTTTTATCTCAAAGCTGAAAAATATATGCATGCATACATGTATATTTTTATTATATTTCTTATAAAACACAACAAGGGAAGGTGAGGAGAATTATTAACTTTCAGAAAAAAATAAAGATCTGTTACATATAATTAACAAAATGTTTGTTTGATTTATAAACTTACTCCATCTTCAAAACACCTTGAAGCCATATACTCTTTTCATTCCTGCAGAAGAAAAAATATTACTCAGAAGAGTATGCATACAGTAAAACCTGTACAACCAAGACACCAAAGGTTCCGAAAAAACTGATTGGATAATACCACATTAGGATTAGAGAGAAGACTTGTTAACTTACTTGCTGATAACATTTTGTTTATTTCCATTGATACCTCCCTGAATGTCCATCTATCAATGCCAACAATTATTTCTGAAGTACAGGTATCAATTTGAAGAAAAGTGTGGAAATATAATCCTAAGACACTGCTTGAAACACAACACTCTAATCCTGTGCAAAGACTTGGAAGATGGCAGACAACACTACTGTTAAGGGTTCTCAAACTCTCATTAACAGGACACTCTAAAGAAATTATCAAGACTAGTTAAAATCCCAGTGGAACACATCCTTGATTTGAAAAAATATAAATTGAAAATAGATTTTTATGTAAAAATTATGAACAATTGATCTCCAACCCTCTAATTCAAAATAAAGGGAATGCATTTAAAGCATAAATAAAGGACTACAGTATTCAATGTATCTTGCCAGAATTCCAGTCGTTGCTGTTGACAGGAACAAATGGAGCTCCTGTTACGTTACAGTCCCTATTCTCCTTAAACCTGGACAGTTGTAGAACTTCCATTAGATCCTGTAATGCATTTCCTTTCAGTGGTGTGGAATCTGGATATCCATTGGTGGCCAGCCAAGACTTTACAGAGAAAGCTTGAAAAGAAAATTCATCCATTTACAACTAAACTGATTTCCTGCTTTCTAAATTCTCAGCTGTTTTAAAAATGATCTACATGATTCCCAAGTAAATTCTTAAGTCAGATATTAATCTTTGACTCATCCTACCTGGAATAGGTTCCTCCGATTTCCAGTTACAATATGGCTGGGATTTAGACTTTGGCAGTCTGGTGTTGGAGAGAACAATGTATTCCTCACAATTAGAGGGACCTTCCCAGCAAGAACGAATGGAAAAACTGACCAAGTACATGTTGGCATTTGGTAGATCCTCAAGTGTGTATCTATAAGAAAGGGGAATAATTATTACAACTTAGCTCTGAGGATTAGTTTTTAGCTCACCTGAGCCGAAGGCTCAAGTGAACTTTTCTAATCAAAATTTGTCTGTTCTCTGTTGTCGTTAACTTTTCACATTTTCATCTTCTTCTCAAGAACCTCTGTGCCAATTTCAACCAAACTTGGCTCAAAGTATCCTTGGGTGAAGGGAATTCAAATTTGTTCAAAAGAAGGGCCACGCCCTTTTCCAAGAGGAGATAATCATGAATTAGAGAAAAATTATTGGCATTTTTAAAAAATCTTCTTCTCAAGAACCACTGGGCCAGTAAAGATGAAACTCATGTGGAATCATCCTCAGGTAGTGTAGATTCAAGTTTGTTCAAGTCATGACCCCCGGGGGTAGGGCGGGGCCAAAATGGCCGATCAATGTTTTACATAGGAATATATAGGAAAAATCTTTAAAAATCTTCTTCTCAAGAACCAATGGGCCAGGAAAGATGAAACTCATGTGGAATCATCCTCAGGTAGTGTAGATTCAAGTTTGTTCAAGTCATGACCCCCAGGGGTAGGGCGGGGTGAAAATGGCTGATCAAAGTTTTACATAGGAATATATAGGAAAAATCTTAAAAAATCTTTTTCTCAAGAACCATTGAAACAGGAAAGATGAAACTCATGTGAAATTATCCTCAGGTAGTGTAGATCCAAGTTTGTTCAAGTCATGACCACGGGGTAAGGGTGTGGCCAAAATGGCCGACCAAAGTTTTACATAGAAATATATAGGGAAACCTTTTTAAATCTTCTTTTCAAGTACTTCAAAGCCAGGATTAGTTATATTTGTATGGAATCATCCTCAGGTAATGTAGATTCTAGTTCGTTCAAATTATGATCCCCTTGGGGGTTAAAATTCAAGCCCCCCCCCAACTTAAGTTAACTTTCAGGTCTGATCTGATATGTGTTTTTTCCTAGCTGATGTGCTCAGGTGAGCGCTGTGGCCCCTGGGCCTCTTGTTTGCTTGTACCACAGAATTTTGTGCAAGATTCTTTATCCCTATGTATGGGATCATAATAGTTAATAAAGTAAGTAAATGTAAGCAATATTCTTACATTTATTGTTTAGTTATTAAAACTTACTTTAGTTGATAAATTTCACTCATGTCTAGCATTTCTTCTGTACCTAAAATTCAGAAAAATTAACCAATATGACTAAAATGTTTCTTTCACAAGATTAAAACAAATTATTATAATTCTGAATGTTTAAATGAACGTTACCCCAGTTGTTGTATGAGCTAGGCTGTATTTCCCTGGTGAACTTGTCTATCCCGACACGGATTCTGTCTTGACAGTAATCCAGACTGAGGCTGATAGTTACGTGTTTCATCAGAGGTTCAGCGTACAGACAACACACCACATCAGAACAGGAGGCTCCCAGGTTACACGTGATGGCTCCTCTTACAACAGGTACATTATTGGGAAGGGCAATCGGGCAATCTTTGTAGAATAATTCATATATTAAATTTATAAATTCCAAAAGTGACTTCTAATCAAAAGGAGTTTGCATTTGTTAAGCTATAAGAAAGGAATTAGATAGCCTATGCCTTTTTAACACCATATTCACCGATAATAAATAATATATCAACAAACAACACATCAACTTTACCATTCGTCCATCCAGCAGAAGGGGAGGCAAATATTCCTGATGTTCTTTCACAGACTTGGGTGGAGTTATACAGGTACCCATGCATTCCTAGCTCCTCCTCCAGTCTAGCAATGCTGTGTTCTTCCATTGTTGTGTACTTATTCTGTGTCTTCCATGAACTGAATGTGAAATCTAATTCAAAAATATATGAAATATCATGAAACCATCTTTTAACAATATGCATATTACAAAACTCAAATTTCAAACTCAAAACATGCATTAAATTTTAAAATTTTCAAAGTTAAACAAATAACAAGCAATCAAAAAACATTGATTTTTAGCTATTAATTGCTTTTTGGTGAACTCTCACCCTCCACTGGGATTCCAATCTTCCAATTACAGGATGATTTGGGAAGAAGTGTGTTATTTAGTACTGTAACTTCTTGTTCACAAGGTAATCCATCTTCTAAGCAAACCATAAATCTAAGAGTCACTCTGAAAGTGTCTGCTCCTTGAAGATGTGTGACCATAAACCTGAAATATTTTGCTATTTTTTTATGCACATTCAAACCAAAAGAATTAAATCTGATCTAAATTACAAAATGTGTAAATTCATCTACACACACAGTGATAAGAATAATTTATTTTCCACTCTGATAAAAAACAAGAGGCCCAAGGGCCTTGAATTGCTCTTCTGATAAATTGTACAACCTATCACTTGTATTTGAAGCCTCTAACCCTAAGTATCTAAAACCTAAGTTGCATCAACTGATAAAAAGTTTGATGATTCTTAGCCAATTAGGACTGAAGATATTTTAATAAAGCTATAAAAAAAAAAACCATGAGTAGGTAACGGTGACCTACTTTAAGATTGAAGTTTTCTGAGGACTCATGATGCATTAATAGACAAACTAAGATTGAAGATTCTAAGCCAATATGTATTTGAGATATTCAAAAGAAGGTCACCTTGACCTACTTTTTGGTCTACATTCTTGGAAAACCCAAGATGCATCAACTGACAAAGTTTGATGATTCTAAGCAAATAAATACCTGAGATATTCAAAAGTAGGTCACTGTGACCTACTTTTTGGTCAACATTCTCTGAAAACCCAAGAGGCATAAACTAACAAAGTTTGATGATTCTAAGCCAATAAGTACCGGAGATACTTAAATATAGCCATAAAATGTCAAAAGTAGGTCATCGTGACCTACTTTTTTGGTCAACATTCTCCGAAAACCCAAGATGCATACACTGACAAAGTTTGATGATTCTAAGCCGATAAGTACTGGAGATACTTAAATATAGCCATTAAATGTCAAAAGTAGGTCATCGTGACCTACATTTTGGTTTATATTTATCAGAGGCCTAAGATGCATCTGCTGACCAAGTTTGATAATTCTAAGCCAATGAATACCTGAGATATTCAAAAGTAGGTCACTGTGACCTACTTTTTTTTTCGACATTCTCTGAAAACCCAAGAGGCATAAACTAACATAGTTTGATGATTCTAAACCGATAAGTACCAGAAATACATAAATATAGCCATTAAATGTCAAAAGTAGGTCACCATGACCTACTTTTTGGTCGACATTCTCCGAAAACCCAAGATGCATCAACTGACAAAGTTTGATGATATAAGCCGATAAGTACTGGAGATACATAAATATAACCATAAAATATTGAAAGTAGGTCACCGTGACCTAATTTTTGGTCATCACTCTCCGAAAACCCAAGATGCATCAACTCACAAAGTTTGATGATTCTAAGCCAATAAATACCTGAGATACTGAAATATAGCCATAAAATGTCGAAAGTAGGTCACAGTGACCTACATTTTGGTCAACATTTTTCAGAGTCCCAAGATGCATCAGCTGACCAAGTTTGATGATCATTGGTCTGAAGGTAATCAAAATATGCCTTTTAAACAATTTGAAAACAAATGCCTGCAAAATTCTAAAAGTAGGTCACAGTGACCTACTTTTACTTAAATATGTTTTAAGGTCCCAAGATGCAGCAACTTACAAGATTTGATGATTCTAACCCTCTCAGTGTCTGAAATAATGGGATGAAATGTTTTAAAAAGAATAAGTCATAAAGTTCAAAAAGTAGGTCACGGTGACCTACTTTTAAGTTGACGTTGTTCAAGGACCCAAGATGCATCAACTGACAAAGTTTGATGATCATAGGCCTTAAAGTGTCCTAAATATGCCTTCAAATCAATTTGAAAACAAATCCCCGCAAAATTAAAAAAGTAGGTCACCGTGACCTACTTTTGAGTTAACATGATGTGAAGTCCTAAGATGCATCTACTTACAAGATTTGATGATCCTAGTCCTTATAGTAAGCAAAATATAGACATTTTCATTAATTGTAAATTTAGGTCAACTTTGAAGTGACCTTGAGACCACGCCCTTTGCCCCAGGGTCATGCCTTGAACAATTTTTAATCTTCAACATATCCTGATCATTGTATGTAAGTTTGGTGAAAATCTGCCTGGTGGTTCTGGAGAAGAAGATTTTTTTGCAACCAGTACTTTTGGTTTTGTTTTCCTGATTATCTCCCCTTGTTTTAGGGTCCCAACCCTTATTTTAGTATAAATGGTAGCCCTTGGGCCAAGGATACCCTGTGACAAATTTGACACTGATTGGCCAAGGGGTTCTTGAGTTATGGCCCATATTCTAAAAAGTTAACCAGTACTTTTGGTTTTGTTTTCCTGATTATCTCCCCTTGTTTTAGAGTCCCAACCCTTATTTTAGTATAAATGGTAGCCCTTGGGCCAAGGATACCCTGTGACAAATTTGACACTGATTGGCCAAGGGGTTCTTGAGTTATGGCCCATATTCTAAAAAGTTAACGCACACCGCACGACGCACACCGCACAAATGGCCATAGCATTAGCTCTTTGAGCCTTTGGCTCAGAAGAGCTAAAAAGGCAATATTTCTTCTATATTACCTTAACCTGTATATCCCCTTCATCCAATAATCATGCCATTCATCAAACTTGAAATCATACATTATGGTTGGTCTTACACTAAATTTATCAATTCCGTACTCAATCACCCATTCACACGAGTCCATCATTAAGTAGAACTGGACTGACTGAGATTTTAGCCTGGTTAAGTCCATACAACAGCTAATACTGGTACAACTGGACATCATATGACAGGTCACATAGTCTGGCAAAGATGACAGTTCGGGAGTTACTGTGGTGGGACATTCTGGTAAAGAAACAATTACAAAATTTATTATGACTTCACTTTATTAACTTCTCAATTTTTACACCATATTTGAATAAATGAACAAAATACTTTTGATAAAAAGGAATTTTTTTACCATTATTCCATCCATTGCTAGCATACATAGATTCATTCTTTTGTCTGTTACATGAAGCATTTGATACGTAGCTAGATATCCCCATATAATCATACAGATAGACCAAATCTCTTTCTGTCAAATTGTTCAGATCAAGCTGATTATCTAGGCTGTAGTTTGACAAAGAAAATCCTGCAATTAACAAAACAAAAATAATTAAAAATCAGCTTAAGACGCAACTAACATGAAAACAATGTAAATTTTCTATCTTGCTCTTTTTAGCAAACAAACCTGGTTTGTCATAGTCTAGCTGACCCATGCATGTTTTCTTTGGAAGGATAGAATTTTTGAAAATTGCTGCAACAAAGCTACAGGGTTTGTAACTTTCCCAGCACAGTGATACATTAAGGTCGACAAGGTAGAGACTCTCATCATACAGGTCAATAATCTTGTAACTGACAAAATAAATAAATATTCATTACATGAAAAAGAGAATATTATACATGTACGAGGGTTGTCCAACAAGAGGCCCATGGGCCACATCGCTCACCTGAGTAACTTGGGTGATGCAGATCTTTACCAGATTCCCCCTCTTGCTATACCTATCATGCCCAACAACCCCCTTCCCTTTTTTATTTTAAAACTTTAGAATCTACACTACCCAAGGATGCTTCCACATAAGTTTCAGCTTTCCTGGCCCAGTGTTTCTTGAGAAGAAGATTTTTAAAGATTTGTTCTATATATTTCTATGTAAAACGTGGAATTCCCTATTGTGGCCCCGCCCTACCCACGGGGGTCAAGATTTTAACAATTTAATATCTACACTACCCAAGGATGCTTCCACGTAAGTTTCAGCTTTCCTGGCCCAGTGGTTCTTGAGAAGAAGATTTTTAAAGATTTGTTCTATATATATTTCTATGTAAAACTTGGATTCCCTATTGTGGCCCGCCCTACCCCCAGGGGTCATGGTTTTAACAATTTAATATTTGCACTACCCAAGGATGCTTCCACATAAGTTTCAGCTTTCCTGGCCAAGTGGTTCTTGAGAAGAAGATTTTTAAAGATTTGTTCTATATATTTCTATGTAAAACTTGGATTCCCTATTGTGGCCCCGCCCTACCCCCGGGGGTCATGATTTGAACAATTTAATATCTACACTACCCTAGGATGCTTCCACATAAGTTTCAGCTTTTCTGGCCTAGTAGTTCTTGAGAAGAAGATTTTCCAAGATTTTTCCTATATATTTCTATGTAAAACTTTGATTCCCCATTGTGGCCCCGCCCTTCCCCCGGGGGTCATGATTTGAACAATTTAATATCTACACTACCCTAGGATGCTTTCACATAAGTTTCAGCTTTTCTGGCCCAGTAGTTCTTGAGAAGAAGATTTTTAAAAATTTGATTTCTATGTAAAACTTGGATTCCCTATTGTGGCCCCGCCCTACCCCCGGGGGTCATGATTTTAACAATTTAATATCTACATTACCAAAGGATGCTTCCACATAAGTTTCAGCTTTCCTGGTCCAGTGGTTCTTGTGAAGAAGATTTTTAAATATTTGTTCTATATATTTCTATGTAAAACTTGGATTCCCTATTGTGGCCCCGCCCTACCCCCGGGGGTCATGATTTTAACAATTTAATATCTGTACTACCCAAGGATGCTCCCACATAAGTTTCAGCTTTCCTGGCCCAGTGGTTCTTGAGAAGAAGATTTTTTAGTGACCCCACCCTATTTTTGACTTTTCTTGATTATCTCCCCTTGTAAGGAGACTTGGCCCTTCAATTTAACAATTTAAACTCCCCTTCACCCAAGGATGCTTTGTACCAAGTTTGGTTAAAATTGGCCCATTGGTTCTTGAGAAGAAGTCGAAAATGTGAAAAGTTTACAGACGGACGGACGGACAGACGGACGGACAGCTGGACAGACAGACGGACAGACGGACGGACGACGGACAAAATGTGATCAGAAAAGCTCACTTGAGCCTTCGGCTCAGGTGAGCTAAAAAGTTCTTGGACAATGACGTTTTTGTTAAAATAAATGGTTCAATCTGCATCTATTGTATATCAAAATATTTCTCATGAAAAAATAAGTCAGAATGATTTAATTTTTATTAATGAAACTTAATATTTTTGTAAAAATCGGGGTCTTTAAAGATCGCAGATTGACGTTACGCTAATTTCATTATAACGTCAAATATTTGGATATTGACTAAACACACTTTCATGGACACACACAAGATTTCTTTTTAAAGGTGAAACGCTCTTTAAAGTTCTAGCAATAATCTTTAAGTATATATTATAATTCATTTAATTTTTAAATTTCAAAAGAATACACACAAATTTACGAGCGTCATCTAAATTAACAGTTTGTATACCCAAACTGTACAGCCCAGTCCGACGATGCGCTAGATTTATAACAACGTCATGAATAGAAATCTCCATTTACAGTTAATTACACGAGTTTTTAAATTCTTGTAGTGTCTTTGTATTTATACACACTGTTGAAAAATCGTATATTCTAATCCCGAATCGGTACATTCGATATATTTCAATAATTTTGAGTTGTTTTAACAAACATTTTGTCTCTTACATCGTTTCAACCGTTATGAAGCTTAATTTTTTTACCGGACGCTGCCCCTTGCCGACGGACGACGTCACTTTTTCTGTTGAGTTTTGACATGTATTTGCTAAGGTTTTCTTTGTGTATTTTCGTTGTCTATATAGTAAGCGATATTTAAGATATCATAAAATGATAATAACCTTTTTATTTGTGTTACATAAAATTTTTGTTAACTTTTGACTTGTTTTATTTAGAAAATAATCATTTTAATCTGAACTCTTTATATCTGAGTTTACATCATTTTAACCTTGGTCCGTGCGCACTATCCGCGACCTCTAAATACCCCGATTTTTACAAAAATATTACGTTCCATCAATAAAAACTAAATCCTTCTGACTTGTTTTTTCATAAGAAATATTTTGATATTCGACAGATTCATATAGAACCATTTATTTTCACAAAAACGTCATTGTCCACGAACTTTTTGGACAACCCTCGTATATCCCCATTACATTAAAAGATCACTACTCTCCTGTCTAGAACCTTATACATGCCAGAAAACTTCAACAATCCTTAAGACTTCATGATAAATTCTAGACCAGGTCATAAGCAATCTTAATGATACATTCTCAGTCCACAAAAATATTCATAGCATTATTAGTTTCTATCCTAAATAAGGTATGACCTGCAGAGGGAATTTAACTTTTTAAAATAGTATTGCCATGAACTTGATCAAGTTCATGACAAAAGTTCAAATCATAAGAAATTATGTGTTAAGCTACAAACTAATTTTGTTCCCTTCCAGTGACCTTGACCCTCTCAAATTGACCTTTCTTAAAGGCCATAACAGATATCAGGTTATATTTATGCAATCGTTATATAAACCAGAAGTCTCTGTCGAGACTGTAGCTCTACTGATTTGTACTTATCAAAAACCATTTTATGTATCTTTGTGTAGTCTACTTATGTGCCAACTTATTTTGAAATCAAACTAAAACTGTAGAAGGAGTAGTGTTTTAAAGGAATTTCACAGAAAATTCTATTTTTAGTAACCATGGCAACACCGTTCATCGAAATTAAAAACCAATGCACTATTCTATGTATCTTAGTGTAGTCTACTTGTGTGCCAAGTTATATTGAAATCAGACCAAAACTGTAGATGGAGTAGTGTTTTAAAGGAATTTCACAGAGAATTCTATTTTTAGTAACCATGGCAACATCGTTCACCGAAATCAAAAACCAATGCACTATTCTATGTATCTTAGTGTAGTCTACTTGTGTGCCAAGTTATATTGAAATCAGACCAAAACTGTAGAAGGTATAGCATTTTAAAGGAATTTCACAGAAAATTCTATTTTTAGTAACCATGGCAAAACCGTTCATCGAAATCAAAAACCAATGCACTATTCTATGTATCATAGTGTAGTCTACTTGTGTGCCAAGTAATATTGAAATCAGACTAAAATTGTAGGAGGAGTAGCGTTTTGAAAAATTTTTTACAGACAGACGGACAGCTAGACAGACAGATGGACGGACGACGGACGCATTACTATCGCATAAGCTCTTCTGGTCTCTGACCAGTTGAGCTAAAAATAGGATTTCGAGATTTCTTCCTTACAAAGTTATAGAAAGAAATCAAGTTCAATTCCTTGATTATTTAAAACAAAATAAAAACCTACAAAACAATACTTGTTTGCATGAAACATTTACATCAATCATAAATATCCAATATGTCTTCCTCTTAAAGTTATGTTCCATATCGCAATTGCATGGATAGATGAATTTTAAAAAATGCATGGCTAGGACAAATCTTTTAAGTCATCTTTTGTTTGCAATGTGTATGATAAGCCATATTCCAAGGTCACCTAAAAAATTTGATTTTGTTTGGTAGTGAATTAAATGAATTTGACAACACATGGATACTTACTCCAATCGAATCACTCCCAGCAAATAATATTGTTGTTCTTTACCTACATAAAATAATAATATTAATAATTAAATACAGTAAACTTCTATCATATTGATTCACATTGCTTGT